CTGGAAAAACGCGATGCCAGTCAGTCGGGTAGGGACTATCCCCCAAAATACCAGTCACAACCTAGAATTTAAATAGAATAGGCCACAGACATTGCTCACATCCCCCACCCAGTAGTATCAGAAACGGTTGGAAATAACAAACTCATTTGTTTTTCATGACAAGAAAATTTCCCTCTACTTTTAGTTTTATAGTATACTCAAAATATATACTTAGGGTGTATAATCAACCTAGTGTACAGATGCAGCCTAGTCCTTCAGATCTTGTTTCACCTATTAGCTACTGGTCTAAAACAAGATTTTTTGGGGGGCTCACGTTACAATGCCAAAACCCAAACTGGTTAAAAACTTCCCTGATATTGACAGAGTCTTCGCTTAACCAACCTTTCATCACGTTCTTGAACCTTCTCCTAGGCCCACCTGTGCACTTCCTTGTATAATCCAGTTTTAGTAAGAACTCGGTCAGTTTAAGCAGTAGCCCCGACCCCAATGTCGGACTGGGCTCCACACCCATCACCATTCCCCACATGGTGTCTGATCACCCTGGCCTGTCTTCAGCAAGAACCCTGTTGGGTTCGTTGAGCCAGAATCCCCCTCACCTCCGTTTCTTCTAACTTTCCATCTGCTGATCCCCTACACCATATGCCCTGGCTAGAAATTCCGATTTGCCCACACTATAATCAGATTTGAGCCCAATCTCTGACACTGTAAAATCCCATTTGCAGTGGTCCCTGAACCTATCACCATGATCCCGAACAAAATCTGCCTTACCATCTTTAATTATGTGGACGTATTTTGAGTGTGCCGAAGCTTTCCGTGGACTGACCTCCCTTTGCCTTGAATATGCCAACAGGCTCTTCTAAGGTCTGAGGCCCCAGGTCTCCCCACTTCACAATTTCCTTGGCCATCTCTCCTCCCCAGTCCCTGTACTGTCTCTTCATAAATCCTCCCCACAGCCACAAGACACAATCTCCACTCTAGGAGTGCTCCTTAATGTAACACCGGGTGGTTCCCTTAACTCCTATCCTGTCATTTTGGCAAATGGCAGGAATAAAACCTTTGGCATCCACATTATTTCTGTAACTCCTCCATTTTATAAAACCCCCCACTCCCATGAGCTTTCCTAGGTTCGTTAAGAGTCAACACAACTCTCATCTTTCATCTTAGGAAGAACCCAGGAACTTACGGGAGTTGGCATTGGCGATTTCATTGGTCTCATTGGGGTCCAACCAGACCTTCTTTTTGCCGCAGCGGAGGACACTGGAGGCAAGCCTCTTCTGAAGCCTGAGCATACTGAGACCAACAGAAAACACTGTCAGGCCCTAGAAGCCATTCCTGGTTTAGAATGAGCATCCCCAGCAAGACCTGCCCTTCCAAGTCTTCTAATGTTGTGAAATATAACACATGGGGATAGTAGATGTGAATGTGCACTTAGTGTTAAGGGCCAACATGTCCCTCTGCGCTAAGACTTTTGCCATCCACACCACCACAACTCCCGATTAACAATCTTTTCTATATCAAGGTCTTTCTCCTCTGGAAAATGTGGGGGCTTATGCCGATTCTGGTGTTCAGTCTAAAAACAAGTGTTTCGGCAAAGAATCCGAGGCCAGTAGACTTGATTTAGTCTAGTCCTTTGCTTCCTGGGCTCGTTTTCTTCGTCTTATCACAGTAATAAGGTAATTTCAGCTGGCCTTAGAGTTTTCTCTTTTTTAAACCCTCACCCGAGGATGTTTGTATTGATTTTGGAGAGCGAAAAAGGGAGAGGAAGAAAAACGTCGATGTGCGAGAGCAACATTGCCCAGTTGCCTCCCTACGCCCGGCGGGCCAAAATCGCAAGGGATGATGATGCTTCAACCAACTGTGCCACCCGACCAGGGCTGGCCTTAGAGTTTCCTTATGCTTGGTCTACGTGGGTTCTGGGGATCGCCTCACCCTCGACAGAGATCGGCTTGGACCCAAGGGCGCCCTGTAAGGAGTCCAGGGCCTAGTCAGCACCGCTGCCTTCCCTCTGCCTGCGTGGGTCGCCCCGGACACGTGTGCGGCGCGGTGCGCGAACTTCCCGCGGCCTAGAGCTCTCGGAACGTTCCCCGTACCCTATCCTCTTGAGGCTGAGGCCGGAACCTAGGCCGCTTCGGCCTACCCCAAGTTCTGGGACCGGCCGCTTCAGGGCTGCTTCCTCCTCATCACTCCCACCCGGGGCCACGGCATCGAGCCTCGCCGCCCACCCACAGTCCCGATTAACCCAGGCCAGAGACTCGCCAGTCCTCACCTCATGGCTGCTGCCGCAGCGGCGAAAGGAAAGAACTCCCTTTGGTCAGGCTCCTCCCATTATCTGTAAAGGGGAGAGCCCATGCCCCGCTCCGCCTTCATCCGTATTCCCCTCTTGTCCTTTCATCTTCCACCACCCTAAATTTACTTACATCCTGTGTAAAGACTCGAGATAGTAGAAACCTAGTATCGGGAGCCGTTTTAAACTTAAAAACATAGAAAATACACCCCTTTGGTAAAGCACAGTGGTATAGTCCGACTTCCTACTAGGCAAGCGCAGCAAGGGTGCCTGATCACGTGGGTACTGGGAGCCGGAAGTCAACTGGATTGCGCAGGCGAGATACGGCCGGGGTCTGGGACCGGTTTGCTAGAGTGGCCCAGTCGTTGCGGACGTCATGTATTTTCTGGAAGGGTGTTTCATTAGTGGGTAAAAAAAATTAGTGAATGAAGCGAAAGAATAATAGGACGGATACCAGACAATAGCCACCTTTATTCAGTTGATTGGGAGCTCCTGGAGTGCAGAGTAGGTCGCCAAAGACATTAGCTTGTTTTTGCAACACTGCAGTTCTTTATCTCTTAGTGCCTCAATTTTCCCTTCTGTAAAATTTATCTAATCCTAGTATTTCCGTAGTCCAGTTGTGAAAATCACACGAGTTAATGTTTGCAACTTGCAAAAGGAAGGCATTAAGACAACAAGCTCCTTAATGGTGGAAACCGTTTTTTGTTTGGCTCACACTGTACTACAGCAGGCTTAGAGCTTAGAGCATCGATTGTCAACCTTTTTCATTTCATGGCACGTAAACTAATTACTAAAATTCTGCAGCACACCAAAAAATATATCTTTTGCTCGTCTGACAAAAAAAATAGGTATAATTTTGATTCGTTCACACCAATGGCTATTGCTGTGTTGGCTGCTGTCATTTTTTTGACAACCTAAGGGAGAAGAGGTCAAGTGCCCCTAAATAAATAGTCAGGTATTGCATGTTTTAAAGATTCTTGGGCACACCGGGTGAAAATTGCTGGCTCAAAACATAGTAAGTAGCACTTGAGAAATAGTGTTTGGCTTAGTGAACGCATAGTTGTGAAAGTTAAAATTTTTTTGACGGCACAACCGGTAGTTCTCCCCTCCTGGTCTGGAGTACCTGATGCGGAAACCCAAGGAGCATATTCTGGGGTCCAGGAAACCTAGACATGAGTTCTGGCTCCAACTTGCTTGGCTCCGGGTTGTCACACCATCTCCCATTTTTCTGAGGTATTAAACAGAGCTCAGAAGGTCAAAAAGAGAGAGGGGGGAGCAGAATGTATGCCACTTCCTCACAATACAAGTAGTGCCATTGTCATTTTTACAGCTAAATGAGGTAACAGAAAGTGAAAATCCAGGTCTTTCAGACTGCAAAACCCATGCCTTCTTTGTCATGCCAGGCTCTCTTGTGCCCAAGCGGCCCATGGGAACCCTGCTCATGATTGGCTCTGCTCATGGAATAATGTGAATGGGCTTCAGAGAAACAGTTGAGGCTGGCCATCCACTTGTTGCAGAGCCCAGGGTGGGGAGGAGGAGTCAATGTACTTCAGCCTCCTCTCCAGCAGAACACAGCAGGCCGGCCTTATATTAGGGTCACTGAACCTGGGCAAAGCTTTGTGGAACAAGATAAATGGTAGAGAGGTAACAGATTCTCCCGTCATGACTGACTTCCTGCACAGCACCTTACATTTCCAAAAGCCCCAGTAATCTATCATTTAATTTCATTCTCCCAATAATCCCAGGTGCCAAAGACACAATACTGGCAACCCCATTTTACAGAAAAGGTGGTTTATATGGGGCCACACAACCAGAAAGAGTCTGAGCCAAATTGGCACTAAGGTCTCTTGCCGGAATCTCCTACTTCTTTCTCTCCAGAGATCATGGTAAGTGGGATCCAGGCCTTGGATATTTGCCACCTAATAAGGATAGAAGTGGAGTAATTCTAGGTTAAAGATCATTAGATCTGATTTTAGCCAGTCTCTCATCTCAGTTCCGCGTCTTCCTCCTCTCTCTACTGTCTTCCAAGATACATGGACCTCACCCAGCCCCATCCTGGCCTTTTGGAAGGGCCTGGGGATAACAGCGACTAGGACACAAGGACTCCTGGGTCCCTGAGATTTCTTGTTGCTCTCTATGTTGGGACTCACTGTGGACACTCTTCCCCACCCCAGCCTCAGCCTTCCCGCAGCCGGTACCATGTTAGAAGGGAGTTAAACCCTTTCTGTTTGGTTCAAGGCGACCTGAGCCTACCCAGGTTAGAAAGGAGTTAAAGCCGGGTCCCGGGGTAACCGGGTTGGGAAGTTCTGGTGGCCCAAGCCGGAGGTGAATGAGGAGACCAGCTAGGAAGGGAGGTTTGGAAGTGGGGCGCGGTGCCAGCCATGCTAATCCACGTTACACCACCATCAGCGTTTGGCACCCCATGGTAAACCGCCCCCATCCCCCCCCCAGGAGAGTTTTTACCCCCTCATCGCCGCGGAGTGGGCCGCCCTCACCCCAAGCCAGTCGGAGGCCAGCGCACGCCCACCTCCCGGGCCAGGAAAGGATCCCTTCCTTCCCGCCGCCCCTCCATTGTCTGTCTGTGCCGAGCCCGCGGAGGGGCTGCGAGGGGCGGGGCCGGGGCGGGCAGAGCGAGGGAGGAGGGGCGGGGGGGAAGCGGAGCGGGCGGGGGGAGATGCTGAGCCTTCAGGGGCGGAGTAGGAGGCGGCGGCGGCAGCGAAGGCAGAGGAGAGAGCGGGAGGAGGGAGGGAAGGCAGGGAGAAGGCAACCGCTCGCCGGACCGGGAGGCTGAATCGGGTGCCGGCTGCGCTGCGCCGTTCTCGGTTCCGACGGCCTGTCTCATGCGCTGAGAGCGCCCGGCTGGGCCGGGCCGGCGGCCGAAGGGGAGACTCCTCTCCATGGTCCAGAAGACCAGCATGTCCCGGGGCCCTTACCCACCCTCCCAGGAAATTCCCATGGAGGTCTTCGACCCCAGCCCACAGGTGAGGCGTGGTGGCCGGGCGGAGGGAAGGGGTCCCTTCCCGCGGACCTTGTGGGGTCGGCTCGAGGGGCGCTGGGGAGGAAGGGGTTATGTGCTCGGCGCAGAGGGGAGAGGGGCGCCTGAAAGACCCCGGCCCTGCGGGTTAATGATTGATGGGCGCCTGGCCCGGAATTGGGCTGCGGTTTTGCGGAGCCGGAGGGGACGGTTGGGCCGCCTGTCACCCTCGCCTTGTCTCTCCCGCGATCAGGGTCCCTGCTGTTCGGGTACCGGCTCCAGAGGGTTGAGAAGCGGAGGTGTTGGCGGGGGGATCCCGGGGTTGAGGGAGGCTAGAGAGCAAGCTCAGGCAGTGGGGGCGACGCAGAACACGCTCTTGGGCGCTGGGCGGGGGTGGGTGGGGCGGGGGTGGCTCTGAGAGATGGCCGAGGCGATAGTCAGAGGGCGGCGCCAGCAGGCCTTCGGAGCCGCAGACAGTGGCCCTCGAGGGTGGGGAAGGGGCCAGGCCCCCATTCCAGCCACGTCAGCTACACCCCTATATTGGACCAGCTTTTCTCTCCCAACACCCACGTTATCTCTCCCTGCCAATCCTCCCCCCTACCCTCAGCCCCGGAAAAATGCCTCCAAAGTTTGGAAAGTTGGAAGGATTCCAACTCACTGTCCTGGAGGGGAAGAAGCTGAGTTACCTGGGGGAGGAGGTCGCTGCCCCACCCCCGGCCACACTTTTCCTGTGCCCACGGGTTCCTCCGAGGAAGGGGCATTCTTGGGTGTGGTGGTTGCCCCTGGAGTGACCAACAAGGTGGCGTGGTTGTATCGTGCAGGGGATTTCTCTGGGACATGGCCTTCTCTAATATGGCAGTATCCCAAGGCTAGGATAGCATTAACTCTTTTCTTGCTGTGGCCAGCTTGGAGCAACTGTAACAGCCATGATAAGTGGTTGATGGGTGTGTGTGTGTGTGTGTGTGTGTGTGTGGCGCGGGGGTCAGGTCAGACCTAAAAATACCTCCCTTCTCCATCCCAGGCCCCTTGGAGTCTGGGAGGCAGCTGACTGGGGCCTTTCTTTCAGCTGTCCCTTGTCCCTCTGGGTGCCACTCCCTTTTCCCAGCGTGGGGTGGTGTTAGTGGTGGTGTGAAAGAGTGTGGGGTTTACTGGGGGGTCCTCTTAAGTTTGTAGAGATCCTCAGTCCTAGAGGTTGGTACATACCTGGTTTGAAGAGGGGGATGGGAGGGAGGATCCAGGGGTTCCCAGGTGCCCTTCTCTCCCATCTATCCATCCTCCTTTTTGTACTCAGGCCCAAGAAGCTAGAGATCCTAGTCTGGTCATGGCTTATCTGCCTTCTTCGGTAAAGAAGAGGATGCAGGCTGGGGGCAGGGGCTGGAGGGCCTGAACCCCCCGGTCATCACCCTCTGCTCTGGACTGGCCTGGGGCCAAAGTGTGTATGTGAGTTGAGGAGGGTGAAGAAGCAGCCCCCGTTGCAGGAGGCCTGGCAGTCCTGATGTGTGGCTGCTTGAGTGATCAGGCAGTGTCCACTCCAGCCAAGTCAGGAGCCTAGCGGGGGAGACGGAGCCAGCCTACCCCAGGGATTTGTGGGGCCTGTGTCCTAGGCTCCTCTTGGGGCAGGGCCAGGGGGCATTTGGATTGATGCAGCCTGGTGGGTACCTTGGGGACAGGATGTAGGCAGTGGCAGCTGGGGGTTAGTGGGTGGAGGCTTGATCCCTTTTGCCCCCTTGCGGAGGTGTGACGCTGTGCCTGTGAGGAGAGGCCTGAGAAGGAGTCCTGCGCGGGCGGGGTGCTGAGCTAAATCTACTCCAGGGTGGTAGCAGGCTGCGGTTCGATGTCTACGTTCCAAACACCTTTTCACGCCCCTCACCCTCTCCTGGGAAGTCTAGTTTTGGGTCTCCAGGAGCTGAGACCTGCCACTCCCCTCCCCACGCTGCGAAAAAGGAAAAGCAAGAGTTGGGCACAAGAAAAGCCAAGCTGGGCTCTTTGGCAGTTGGCAATTCCTCTTCTCTCTAGGGGCCACAGGCACACTCAGCCACCCTCCGCTCCAGCTCAAGGGGAGAAGCAGGAGGACTTTCCCCAGGTCTCTTTAACCAACCCCCCCACCCCCCAGCACTGCAGGCAGCCTCTCCCTTCCCTCGAGGCTTCTGCAGCCTGCCCAGCATCTTAATTAGCTTTGTTGCCTAATGAGCCTCCAGCTACTCAGCCCTTCCCCCTTCCAGCCTCTCTGGCTTGGTTTGGGGGTTTCTATGTGTGCTTCCTAGGGCTCTCTTGCACTGTCCTGCACCTCATGACTGTGGTCTGGGCCCTTCCTCTCCCTCGGGCTGTACCATCTCAGGAAGAAGATGGGGGTGCTGTTCAGATCAGGGAATGATATTTCCAAGGCTTAGTTGTAGCTCTGGGCCGGATGGGGTGAGGGTTGGCAAGCGGCCTTTCTGATTCCACTCTTGTCCCTTTCTGGCTTCTCTAGGGCAAATACAGCAAGAGGAAAGGCCGGTTCAAAAGGTCAGATGGAAGCACGTCCTCAGACACCACATCCAACAGTTTTGTCCGCCAGGTAATAGGGAGGCTGGGCTGCGAGGAGGGTGGTGGCTGGTTGGTGGAGCCCAGCATTGGTGAGCTGGGTCTGAGGCTTTCTCCAGACACCCTCCCCCGTGTCATTTGTCTCCTGCCTGGAACCACCCATTACACTGACACCCCATGACCTCCCCTGCGTATACTGTCAGCTGCACCCACTCCCTCAGCCCCCGCCCAGCCCCGCCCCCAGCACCAGGCTCCAGCCCCTGTTGCCGGCCTGCGTCATCTCATTCAGGGACAGCCTGGCCTGCCTCCTTCTAGCTTGCTTCGGGCTGTCACCCACTCCCCCTGCCGGCTGTCTGCTTCCATGTCCTCCCCCGGATCTGTGACAGCAAGGGGTCTAGCCAAGTCCTAAGAAATGAGGAGCCGGGACACTTAAGTCCCTGAGCCCTGGTTAGGTATGGGTCAGGGAAATATCCTCCTTGCATTCAGATATGACTGTTCTTTATGTAGAGAGAAAAGGTATTAAGGGAGGTGGGGGTTTAGCAGGAGGACATTGATTTTTGAAAGGACTTTAGCCCAGCACCCCTCACCAAAGGCAGGGTCACTGAATAGCTTTTGGGTGTGATCTGTGCTCAGCCAGGAAGATGCCTTTCTCATCTCTGTTCTAATTCTCAACCTCAGGCCATCTCAGGCTCAGGGAGAAGCATGTGGTTGCTATGACTACGGAGCATCTCAACAAAGCCTGGTACCCAAAAAAGGCGAGAGGGGCTTGGGATCAGACAAGGGAGAGGAGTACGTTGAAGAAGAAATGGGCAAAGCACATGAGGGTAGAGGATAGTAGGGAGGATGGGTCCTATGGAGGTCAAGCCCCCCTTGGGCCAGAGGAGAGGGGATGGCACCAGGCAGATCCACCCCAGAGGGGAGTGAGGCCCCTCTCTTTGATTGCTCTTTCCACAGCACTTGGCACATATGAGCCCAGCAAAGCGACCCTTCACCCCAGCATCTCCTAAGTACACAAAGGGGAAGTCCTTTCTCCAGCCTCTCCCTCACTCCTCCTGTTGCAGGACTAGGCCATGGCCGGGCCTAGGAAAAATGATGCTGGGCTCTCACTGTAACCCCTCTGGACAGAAAAAAGGCCTTGGTGTTTGGCAACCCAGGGTGGCAGACCCCAGCCTCTACCCTTTTTACTTCTCAGCTCCCTAGCTCTGACCCCCAGTAGGTGGCGGGGAGTGGGGGGGCAGTCCTTGCTACATCTCTGAGCTAAATATACCCTCGCAGTTTGCATATGTAGCAACTCTGCTTGTAACCTGAGCCCCCTGGGGGAACGGGCAGTTTGGGCCACCTCCTAGGCCAGCAGGGCCAGGCTGTGAGGGCGCTGTGATGGAGGTGCCCAGCCGGACCCCCGTGGTGGTGAGCTGGGGATGGGGGGAGGTGGGAGCAGCCCCTCAAGAAAGCTTGTGAGGGGGCTTCACTCCAGCCTGTCTCTTTGCCTCCTCCCAGTTTCCCTGTCTCCCGCCATTCCTGCTATGTCTGTGCGTGCGTGTGCGTGTGTGCGTGCACATGCATGTTGGGTCGGTAAGTGCCTCTCTGTCTCTCTGTCGCTGGGTCTGTTTCTCTGGCTCTCTGTGCATCTGTCTCCGTGACTCTGGGTGCTTCCGTCAGGAGGGGTGGAGAGTGGTAGTTGAGCAGATTTCCACTCTCCTTCCTTTCTGTCTGTTTCCAGTTCCTATTAGTGACTTCACCCCCACCACCAACCTTTCCCCTCCCGAGTCTCCCATTTTCACACTTTGGCTGGAGAAAGGATGGACGATTGCGCTAGCTAATGACCAGGGCCCTCTGGGGGAGGCGGGTTGTCTTCTCTTTTTCTCAGGTCCCCTCCATACCAAGCTAATGGGCATTTCTGGCCAAGTGACCCTTTTTCGCCCTCAGGAAAACACTCCCACATCTCTGCTGTCCGGTTCTTTCCCCACATCACCTCCCACCCCTGAAGCAACAGCACTGCAGCACAGTCACAAAAATCCGCACTTCCTGGCTCCTGCCCTTACGTGCTGCGCGCCCGCAGGGACACCGACACCTAGGGCGCTCCCCTGTGTGGCCTCATGTGTACCTGTCTGCATTCAGTCACGACATCCAGCACATAGTGTAGAACACACCCTCCTAGACAGACTTGAAGTGGCACATCCAAGCACACCCATGAGTAAGCACGGTCATTCACATTGCGGGTCTGGACAGGCTACATGTGCCTTACACACATGCCTGCATCACGGAGGAAGTTGTGCTCTGGGACGGTCAGTGTGGTCAAAACCAGCGTCCTGGCACACCCTTACCTCTGAGCCGGCCTTAACCCTGGCAGCTGCAGCCCGAGCATTAGGGAAAGGCCCGCCCTGTGCTCTACTCTTAACTTGCCTCTTCTGCCTGCACCACCTCAGGAGGATTGGACTGTCTTATATCTTACGAAATTCTGAAGGTTGGGGCTCCCTTGATTCTGCTAGGGGTGGTAGGATTCAGTCTTCCCTCACCCTTGAGCACAAGATAGCAGAATTTTTGGTGGCCCCATCGTGCCAAGCAGGCTGCCTGCTGCCAACAGTGCAGAAAGCTCAGACCTACGCTGGTGGCCACAGTCCCTGGAAGGACCCACTGGCTTCTGCTGAGTCTTTCTCAGCTGGTGCTGGGGGCAGGGGAGAGAATGAGGAGCAGGGAGGGGAGATTCGTCCCCTGGCACTCCTCTCCTGTGCTTTGCCCCTATCAGATTCCCTTCCCTCCCTGGGCCCCAAGCAGCTGTCCTTGGACCTGCCTTAACCCCTGGCTTGCTGCTCTCACCCTTCCTAGGGCCATGTCTTCCTGTGGGCCTGCAAACCTCCCATCTAATGCCATCTCCTCCTAGGCCTTGGGACGTCATGCTGGGCTGCCCGGGGCTTGAGGCCTCTGTGATGGGCGGCACCTCCATGCCTTCCGAGGCCCCGGAACTTGGGGAGGCGGTGTCGGCCCTGAGCTGGCCCTGAGCCGGCCCTGTCTGTTTGCAGGGCTCAGCAGAGTCCTACACCAGCCGCCCGTCGGACTCTGACGTGTCTCTGGAAGAGGACCGGGAAGCCTTAAGGAAGGAGGCAGAGCGCCAGGCATTAGCCCAGCTTGAGAAAGCCAAGGTGAGGAAGAAGGGAGGGACTGTGCTGTCCTACTTCAGCCACCCCAGGGCCTCAGAGACAGCCGGGACAGACCTGGGGTCCGGTTTGGGCCCAGTCACTTCAGCTGGTGTACCTCTGGGCCTCCGTGTGATCGTGCCTTTGTCTTTCACCTGTAAAATGTGGGCTGTAACACTTGTCTCCTTATGCAGTATAATAAGTGGCAAATACTATTTCCACACATAATAGGAGCTTGAGAAGCGCTGAAAACTCATACTTCTTTCTGGAGTCAGAATTTCTGGGCTGCTCTTACTAGCTGTGTGATCTTAGGCAAGTCGCTTAACCTTTCTGAAATTTAGTCTCCTCATTGATTACAATGAAGATAATAATACTTCCTAGGATTTCTGAGATAAATAAACGCATGTGAAATATGTCACACGGTATCTGGCACACTAAATAGTAGATGATGATGATGACGACAATGATGATTCTTTCTGGGTGTCATTCTGGGCTCACCCCCTCCTAATACCTATTATTCCCCACTGCTCCCTCCACCCTGAGAAGGCTGAGTTCTCTTTTTTTTTTTGCTTTTTTATTGTAAATTTAACATAAATATTAAAAAATTACATAAACCATTCAGTATGCCTTTTAATAAACAGCTTATAGAGGACATTCTACATAATCACCACCGTAGTCAAGAAGTCATACATTACATTATGGTTTAACCGTCTGGTTGTCATCCTCCCTGTGCGCCTCCTCTAGACCAAGCCGGTGGCGTTTGCTGTTCGGACGAATGTCGGCTACAACCCGTCTCCGGGGGATGAGGTGCCTGTGCAGGGAATGGCCATCACCTTCGAGCCCAAGGACTTCCTGCACATCAAAGAGGTGGAGAGAGCACTAGGCATCTGGAGGGAGGGCAGGGTAGTGGGTGCCAGGAGAGGGAGCCTCTGGAACTGCAGCGGAGAAAGAATTCTGAGTCATGCCGAGCTGGGCTGAACGTGCTGTGCTTCCTTAGACAAGTCTCTCCACTTCTCTGAGCCTCTAGTTTTTCATTGGTAAAATGGGATGGCGATGCCTGGGTCACAAAGTTGTTGGGCGGGTTTGTGATCAGGCCTGTGAGTGGAGTGGCAGTTTGCCAGACACGTGTAGGTGTCAGCGGTTACTTCTCTCCCTTCCTTCCCAGGGCAGGGCGCGGCGCACACGTGTAGGGAGGAAGGACTCTCAGAACAGGGATGTCCTGCGGGGGGGGGGGCGGCAGTGATCGTGGCTGCAGAGGATGCTGGTCCTGGAGTTGTCCTGAAAATTGGGGCTGTACTCAGAGGCTGGAGCCGGGGATGGGACTCTTTGAGGGTGCCACCCCTGGGCAGGGTAGGCAAGACCAGGGGTGGTCTCCCCTGCAGGATGGCTGCTGGCTCGCCCCTCCAATCTCCCTCTTGGTCTCTCCCACCCCACCTGCCGCTGTTTGCAGAAATACAATAATGACTGGTGGATCGGGCGACTGGTGAAGGAGGGCTGTGAGGTTGGCTTCATCCCCAGCCCTGTCAAACTGGACAGCCTGCGTCTGCTGCAGGAACAGAAGCTGCGCCAGAACCGCCTCAGCTCCAGGTGTCTGGCTGGGGGTGGGGCACCGCCAACCCGGGGAGAGGGAGAGGCCGTCCAGCCGGGACTAGGCCTCAAGGGTTACCATTGCCCCGAGGGCACAGAGCTGCCTGTGACATCACCAGTGTGGCTGGGGAATCATGGGGGCAGGGCAGCGTGTGAGAGAGCAAGGTTCCCCCACCCTCACACCCACCCCTTTGCTCACAGCTCCATTTTTCTCTGCCCACACAGCAAATCAGGTGACAACTCCAGCTCCAGTTTGGGAGATGTGGTGACTGGCACCCGCCGCCCCACACCCCCTGCCAGTGGTAAGAGCTGCTGCCTCCCCTGGGAGTCAGGGGAAACTCCTGGGCGGGGTGGCCCCCCCACTGCCTTTCCCCTCCTTCCCCTGCAGTAGTGGGCACCCCAGTCCTGAGTCATCCACACACATCCAGGGGCCCCCTCTCCACGAAGAGCAGGACACCCCACAAGCTGGGCCCATCAGCGCCCATCCTCTCACGTCTCTCCTCTCCCATTTCTGTGGTAGCTCCATCTCTCTGCCTGACTCCCCTCCCCCCGCCCCCCGTTCATTTCTCCCAGCCCTGTTCCATTCACCTCTTCTTCTTTCTTTTCTCCCCATCCCACCCCTGCGGTCTGTATTTGTGTCTCCATGTCCATCTCACTCCTCCCCACCTCGCCTCCCTCCTCCCTCTCTCCTGACTCTCCGGTCCAGGTAATGAAATGACTAACTTAGCGTTCGAACTAGACCCCCTAGAGTTAGAGGACGAGGAGGCAGAGCTCGGGGAGCATGGCGGCTCTGCCAAGACTAGTGTTAGCAGTGTTACCACTCCGCCACCCCATGGCAAGCGCATCCCCTTCTTTAAGAAGGTAATTCTTGCTGGGCTCTTATAAGAGGGGAGGGGGTCAGGACCCAGGTCTAGGCAGGGGAGGGGGCTGGAATAGACTCAGATTCGGTGGCAGCCTGGTTCTGTGGGCATCTGCCAAGGAGGTGGGAGGGATGGGATGGCACAGAGAGCAGGCACATCTGTCTCCACACAACCCTACCCTGGCCCGCTCCGCAGGAAGGGATGGTTCTTGCAATGGAAGCACCCCTTCTCTTGGAAGGCTTCCCCGCTCCCCCCTCAGCCCACCCCCCTGCTCTCCCACTGGAAGTAGACTCTGGTGGTGATGAAACCTGACTTTTCCCCTCATTACAGTGGGATATTCCACGTTTGCCCCCCACTCCCGAATGTGAAGGGGGGAGTGGAACGGTGACCATTCTTTGCCCTTTTCGAACTCCATGGGTCTAGGGTGGGCGTGTGAGGGTCTATTGGCTACCGAGCAGGACAGTTAAGGGAACTGTTAAAATGGGCAGGTTGGCGCCTGGTACTGGGGGCAAGAGGTAGGGACCAAATTAGGTGCTGTCACCCTTCCCGGCTCTCTTCCAAGACCCAGAAAGGGGGCCTTGGTGTGTCTGAATATTCCCAAGTCCGCTGGACTGACTGACAGTCCCACTCCCAGCCCTGATCCAGGGCCATCTCTGGTTCCCCCGGCATGGGGTCCCGTCCCCTCTCTCTGGCTCTGTCTGTCACTAACACGCATGCCCTGTTATCTCTCCTCGTCTGCCCGCTCTCCCTCCCTCTCTTGTCCTGGTTCCTTCCTTGCCCTCTGCCCCTGCCTGGGTGCCCTCCCTTCTCTCCCTCCCTCCCCCCTCTTGGCAATCTCTGGACCCAGCCAAACAGAAGCAGAAGTCGGTGAGTATCACAGCTTTCTGTGTCCCCCTCCCCACCCCCTGGGATGAGCTAGGGAGACCTTCTAACACCCATTCCCATATCTGCCCCATTTCCCCCACCTCTTCCTGGTTCTCCCTGGCCATTCCTCCCCACCCTCACCCTGATCCCCACATCTGGGCTCTGGGGCCAGGGGGAGGAAAGGATGCATGGGGAAGCCTGGAGGCTGGGGGAGAGGGGCTAATGCCATCTCCACTCTGGGGTTTCCCCTCCCTGCTTCCCCTCCAGACAGAGCATGTGCCCCCCTATGACGTGGTGCCTTCCATGAGGCCCATCATCCTGGTGGGACCGTCGCTCAAGGGCTATGAGGTAGGAGCCCATAGAGGAGAGTGCACCCAGAGGGGCCCCGGCCTCCACTGAGACTCCAAAGGTTCAGACAGCAGAGAGAGTCCTTTGAAGGGCCCACGTTCCTGGGTATCCTCGCCAGAGAGCTTCACACCTTTACAGAAGTTTCCCAGAGGGACCCAACCCACAGGGAGACCCACTCAAAAGATCCATTTCCTCCCTCAAAAATCCCCAGAGGAGTCTTCCAGAGGTACCACCTAGAAGGACTTTTGGATTCTGAGAGCTCATTGGAAGCTCCTTAGACTCAGAAGGATCCCCCAGCCCCAAGATCCCATTCATCTCTGGGATTTATGAAGAGAATGGAATGGGAGGGTGCAAATGCCCAGCAGCCCACCCTTGCTGAGTGGCTTCAAAAGTCTGACCTCTGCCCCTACCCCGCTGCCCACCCTCAGGTTACAGACATGATGCAGAAAGCTTTATTTGACTTCTTGAAGCACCGGTTTGATGGCAGGTAAGGCCTGGGAGCCAGCTCCCCACGCCCATTGCGGTCCTCTGCTGCTGCTGAGGGGCGGGACGGCTTGGATGATAATTTTGGGACTCTCGGACAGAAGGATAGAGGGTAGGACTGGAGCCAGGGGAACGGGCAGGGCACGCCAGCCCACCTGACCCCCGGCCCCGTTTGCCTTACCCCCAGGATCTCCATCACCCGTGTGACAGCGGACATTTCCCTGGCCAAACGCTCGGTCCTCAACAACCCCAGCAAACACATCATCATTGAACGCTCCAACACACGCTCCAGCCTGGGTGAGCCCACCCCTCAATCGCCCTCTCTGGGGCCAGACTTGGGAGGGGTGGGAGGTGAGGGGGCACCCTCAGAAGTGTTCTGTCCGCCCCCTGCCTTGATGGGGGGCTCCCTTGCATTCCCCCTTCTCCATCACTCCATGTTTCCTCAGCTGAGGTTCAGAGCGAGATTGAGCGAATCTTCGAGCTGGCCCGGACTCTTCAGTTGGTTGCTCTGGATGCCGACACCATCAACCACCCCGCCCAGCTCTCTAAGACCTCACTGGCCCCCATCATTGTTTACATCAAGATCACCTCTCCCAAGGTGGGTGCAGGAGCCTGACCCTGGCGGGGACAGGGGCGCTCGGGAGTCTGGCTGCCTATTTACATCCCAGCTACTGCTTACTAATTATATGACTCAATCACCCCAGCTTTACTTTCCTTTGCTGTAAAACTCCATCATATGGACATTGCAAAGATTCAGCCCAATCTGAATACCTTGTACTTAGCAGAGGGTCTGGAATAATGTACCTCATCATGTATTAGCTATTAATATTATATAAATATTAATAGAAGTATTAATATTAGGGTCATGTAGGCCAGGCCCCTGTCTCCACTCTGGTTGACCTCCCATCCTTGGTCCGGAAAACTAAAAGAATTCTGTGCTTGTTGTCACCCAGCTACCTGACAATTGGGATATCTTTCCTGTCTTTTGATTTCAGCCCTTTTTGCTGCATTGTCCTCATGGGGACCTTGATAGAGATGAAATCGGTAGGAAGGCTGACTGACTTCTTTGTCATACTGCGGCTCCATTAGTTTTCCTTCCTCGGTATTAATGGGGGAGGACCATAGAGGGCGGGTGTGGGTGAAGAAGCTGGGGTTTGGAAAACACGGAGCGCAAGTGTAGGTAAAGGATTTGAAGTTAGAAGACAGCACGGGGTTCAAATCCTAGCTCCGGTTGGCTTATTAATTAGATTTTGTTGGTTTTTTGGTTGCTAACAGCTCAATTGCTTCTCCTATAGAATGGAGATAATGCTCCCTCCCGGCATCATTGTTGAGAGGGTTTGAGGTAATGATGTAAAAGAGCCCAGAGTTCATAATGGCAACCAGGGGTGGTAACTGTTACTACCTCATGATAGCACCCTGTGAGCTGAGCACTCAGTTACTTAACCTTAATCCTTCTGAGTCCTAAGTTTCTAATGATCATAAAGGGGATGATAGGATCTAAGTACCTCCTGGGGTGGTTGAAAAAAAATCACATGATAGTAGATGCAAAAACAGTTGGTGAGCTAGAAAGCAACAGTAGGTCCGTTTTCCCCATGGATGAGCACTGACTGAGGTTAATGGTGGGGACTCTTTGAAAGTCCAGACTGCCTGGGTTGATGTCCCGGTGCTGCCACTTACCAGCTCTGTGCTCCTTTGGCAAGCACCTAACATCTCTGTGCCTCAGTTTCCTCATCTGTAAAACAGATACTCAAATGGCAGTTGTAAAGATCAAGTAAATGCAGTAGTCATGTAAAGTGGCTGGTACTTGCTAAGCGCTGTATCTATTTTTTTTAAGATTGTTATTTTAGAAGAGTTGCAAGAATAGTTGAAAGAACTCTCATCCTTTGAATATCCTTTACTCAGTTTTACTAATTTTTTAAAAAAGATTTTATTTATTTTTAGAGAGAAGGGAAGAGAGAGAGAAAGGGAGAGAAACATTGATGTGTGAGAAAAACATCACTCACACATTGTCAAAGACATTGTCAAATTCAAGAAGCGTTATCTAAAATACAGTCCGTCTTGGTCTGACTGATGTGGCTCAGTGGGCTGATCATCATCCCACAAACCAAAACTAACCCTTCTGATTCCACCCTCTGCTGGCTCAGCCAGGCACATGCCTGGGCTGCGGGCCAGGCCTCCAGCTGGGGGCGTGTAAGATGCAGCCAATCGATGTTTCTTTTGCACATCGATGTTTCTCCCTTCCTTTCTATGTAAAACATAAATAAAATCTTTAAAAAAATAAAATAACATAAAATAAAATACAGTCCTTCTTCAGTTTTCACCAATTGTCCCAATAATGCCCTTTATGGCAATTCCTCCCTTAAGCCAGGATCATGTGTTGCATTTAGCTTTCATATCTCGTTAGCATTCTTTAAGCTAGAACAGTCTTCAACCTTTCTTGGATTTCATGACACTGACATTTTTGAAGAGTAGAGATCACTGATTTTGTAGAATGTTCCTCAGTGTGCGTTTGTATGATGTTTTCCTCATGGCTAGATTTAGGTTTTGCAATTTGGGTTGGAACATCACCGAAGCAATGTGTCGTCCTGAGTGAAATGCATCAGGAGGCATGTAATGTGGGTGATGTTAACTTCGATTACTTAATTAAGGTCGTGTTTTGGATGTTGTTATTGTTGTTATTGAGTGAGAATAATAATAGTGTTCACCTAATGGGATTATTGTTGGCACTAAATGAATTGACCATCTACAAAGTACCAAACAGTGCCAGCATATAGCAAGTGCCCCATGAAGCATGGCTGTTGTTAGCGTGGAAAGGAAGTTGGCCTGGACAATGAAGCCTGTGAAGGAGGTTAGAGGGGCTGGGCTGAATGCCCTCCATACGGCCACTGCAAGGAGAACTTTCCAGAACAGGCTGGTATAAGACCCAGGAGAGAGCCGGAGCGTTGTATAGGACGGATACAGAGCTGGAGAGGTGATTTCTGAAGAGGCGGCCAGAGATGGAAGTCATCGAACATCCTCCGGCCCTGACACCGGCTTCGACCAGGACCTGCCTTTCCGACTTGGTGTGTTACACGGGTCCCTCTAGCTCCTCTTCTCCCCCTAAACCAGGTACTTCAGAGGCTCATCAAGTCTCGAGGGAAGTCCCAGTCCAAACACCTCAATGTGCAAATAGCGGCCTCGGAGAAGCTGGCGCAGTGTCCCCCTGTGAGTGCTGAGACCCAGGGGAAGGGGGGAACATTTGGATTCTGGTTTCCTCTGGTCTGCATGTAAGACAGAGTGACCAGAACACTTGGGATGACTCCATACGTGCAGACTGGTTTTCCAGGAAAGAGTGTTGGACAGACGTCAAAGACTGGCTTCAAGCCCCAGAAATACCACTTCTCTGTGTGGGATCTAAGCCTTGGGTACCTTAAATCTAGAATGAGGGAGTTGGACTCTGTGGGTGCCAAGACCTTTTATGGTCCTGTCAGCGCCCATATCTGAGAGCCCTCCTCTGTTTCTGGACATCCAGAAGTCCCTTTTTAACTTTGTCCTTCAACCCCTTGACTCTCCACCCACTGTGCCCAGGCCACAGCCTCACCCCTTAGGTCATGCCTGGCTCATCCTAGCCCTGCCCCTAACCCCGCCTCCACAGGAAATGTTTGACATCATCCTGGACGAGAACCAATTGGAGGATGCCTGCGAGCACTTGGCCGAGTACTTGGAAGCCTACTGGAAGGCCACACACCCGCCCAGCAGCACTCCGCCCAACCCGCTGCTGAACCGCACCATGGCTACTGCGGCCCTGGCTGCCAGCCCTGCCCCTGTCTCCAACCTCCAGGTACAGGTGCTCACCTCACTCAGGAGAAATCTCAGCTTCTGGGGTGGGCTGGAGGCCTCCCAGCAGGCCAGGGCAGTGCCCCAGCAGCAGGAGCACACCATGTAGGTGCCCCGCCCATCTCCCCTCCTGCCCAGGGCCTGGAACTGGAGTGCAGGGAACATGGGGAAGGAAGGAAAGAACTCTATTTTGTAAAAAAAATGTGGCGACCAGCAGCTTCTGGTGTCTGTGGTTTTTGATGGGATTGGGACTGGCTGGTGGTGCTCCTTGGGCCTAGTCCCATAGGACTACATCCACTGGCTTGGGTGATTTGGGGGGTATGAGGCCTGATGGGGGGCCCTATAAGACAGGTGACTAGGGAGAAAGAAAACATGGGAAGACTGATAGAGTCATTCGCTGGACCCCTCCCCATTCTAGACCCAGCAGTGATCACAGCACTGTAAACCCAGCAGAGGAGGGAATCGCATAGAGCAGGATCCTTTAAATCCAAAGAGATTGTCCCCTCCCCTAGAACTGTCACCCCAGGAGGCCCCTCAGAAGAGACCTGGAATGTAGCATCTTCTGTGATTGATTCTAAACCTTCCATTCTCCCAGTTAAACAGATTCCAGGAAGGGCCCTCCTATGGGTGCCCTGCCCTGCCTCTCCTTCCCCCCAGAGGAGCCTTGGCCCGCCTCTGAGAACAGATCATTAAGTGTTTGGTTCTCAATTAGAGCCAGAAGAAAACCATTCTAGACCATTGCTTTTCAAATTTGTTTTCAGCAACAGAGTCCATTTGTTCACTGAATCTTATGTGGAAGCTCAGTGTGTAGACAAATAAGGCATCCTTGCTCTGTTCAGAGGGAGCTAGTGGCTTGACCTCCACTTCACCTCCATGGGGGCCCCTGAAGCACTTCCGTGCCCTCCGCACTGCACCCCAGATCTCCGGGAAACAGTGTGGAACCTGCTGCTCCGGCCTCCATCACACCACCACAGGGCAACAGGAGGTAGACAGGGGAGTCATTTGCTTAGGGCTACATAACTTAAAGGGGCAGGGCTAGGGCCCAGGTCTCTTTGCACCCACCCAGCAGCCTCTGTGGTGGAAGTGGCCATCAGGTCACCTTCATGGGGCATTTGGTGCTGACAATGTTGGGTCACCTCATCGTTTCCTGTGGGCAGTGGAGACCCATCAGCCATGCTCTCCTGCTGCTCTTGAGTTTTGCTGGGGGCAGAGGAGGAATTCCACCATTTGGGGGCAGGGAAGTGCAGGGTTCTAGAAGCCTCTGAATAGGGTCCGGTTTGGGTTGAAAGAGCTTGGGGTTAGTGAGCTTGAGCTGAAATACCTTTAGTATATTTGGAAAGCTGGGGCACTGACTAACCCAACCAACCACTAACGAGTGGCCATACTAATGAGCTGTTAATGATGATTTACCCGAAGGCAGCATTAATGACGTGAGTTGAGGAAGCGATGTCTAATTTTTCCTGGGCTCCGCACCATGGCTACTGGGGGAGTTAACACTTCCTCAGCCTTAGGATGGTTGGGTGCCCCTGTCCCAGCAGAGGAGCGAATGCCCTGAGGTCTGTCTGGCCTGGGCTCCAGAGCCCTTTGTGGGGCTCCACCCCCTAGAGCCAGCTCCCTGCTCCCTTAGCCAGGCTGGTGTCTTCGTGCCATCACTAACCTGCCTTGCTTTGTTGTGTTTCTCTCACCCCTGCCTGATCTGCATGGTTTGTGTCGTCTGTCTGCTAACCAGGGACCCTACCTTGCATCCGGGGACCAGTCACTGGAACGGGCCACCGGGGAGCACGCCAGTGTGCACGAGTACCCCGGGGAGCTGGGCCAGCCCCCAGGCCTTTACCCCAGCAGCCACCCTCCAGGCCGAGTGGGCACCGTGCGGGCACTGTCCCGCCAAGACACGTTTGATGCCGACACCTCTGGCAACCGAAACTCTGCCTACACGGAGCTGGGAGACTCATGTGTGGACATGGAGACCGACCCCTCAGAGGGGCCAGGGCTTGGAGACCCTGCGGGGGGCGGCACCCCACCAGCTCGTCAGGGATCCTGGGAGGACGAGGAAGACTATGAAGAGGAGCTGACTGACAACCGGAATCGCGGCCGGAATAAGGCCCGCTACTGCGCGGAGGGCGGGGGTCCGGTGCTGGGACGCAACAAGAATGAGCTGGAGGGCTGGGGGCGGGGTGTTTACATCCGCTGAGAGGCAGGGGCCGCGCCGTCGGAGGAAGGGCTCTGAGCCCAGAGGAGGGGAGGGACAGCAGGCTCACCACCCGGGGTATGTGGCCTCCAGGGGGCGCTGTCTCCTTTCAGATGCCTTTGCTCAACGTTTGGGGTTTCTTTGGTGATAGATGACCAGCTCCTGGGAGTCCTTTAACCCCAGCTGTAGGTTTTCATCTACCTGCGGTGAATGGATGGGGGGATTGCCGCCTGTCTGCAGTGTCCCCTTTTCCCCACCTCAGGGGTCTCCCCTCGTTCTCCCAGAGAAAAGGTGCACTTCCTTAACTCTTTCTACTTGGGGATTTAAATGGGGTGGCCCTTTCTTTTTCCAACCTGGAGTATTTAGGAAAGGTAGGAGGCTTTTCCTGGAGAGGGAGACCACAGACTTTCCTATGAGGATCTTCCCAAACTCCAGAGCCAGTGTCCTTGTCATGCCCCCTCTCCCCAGCTTTCTGGCAACATTGCCTGGTAGAAGCTCCAGGATGGAAGCCCCTTGGGGAGGGATCTGGGTGGAAACTGACGGGCATCAGATGTAGTGCCATCTGCCTGCCCAGGACAACCCTGAGGGGTGGGCAACCCGCGATGCTGCTACCCCCCCCCCCATGCCTCTGCCTTTACCTGCCCCAGGAATGAGCTTTGCCTACAACATCCCTTGTCTGCTGCCATCGGAAAAGGGGCTCTGTCTGAGCCTTCCATTCCCGCGTCACCTGGGTGTGGAGTCCACGGAACACTCTGGTCCGCCTCATTTTGAAACCAAAAACTGATCATTCACTCTCACCCTGAAATCCCAGGAGAGAGGCCCTTTGGGTTGGTGCTGAGAAATGACCACCACCCCAGGGGTTGCCTTGGGACCACAGATCTCCCCTGGGGGGGCTTGGCTGCTGCTGCTGCTGCTCTGTATTTGCCTCTTGTGATCCTGTTCTTTACCCATGTCCATGCCACTCCCCCCAGGAGAGGCCTTCATGCCCCCCTGACCTGGAGTGTTCCTCTGCTTAGCATTCCCATCGCCCAGCAGCCCTGCCCCTCCCCAGCATCCCAGCTGGGCCAGAGAGAGCCGATTGTGCCAACGAGGACTGGGCCCTGCCCGGCTGCCCGCCTCAGGGATGGGCACCTCACGCCTGTCTCGCCACCTCCTGTGCCAATGTTGTCCCACCCCCCCACCTGGGGGTGGGGTGCAGCTTCCACTTACTGGTTAGAAGAGACCACTCCTGTCTGGTACCCTGTGCCCCCATCTGTCTGTCCCTCTGTACTCCCCTAGGAGAAGTATTTTGCCACATATAAAACCGCCATCCTGTCCTTTGCAGCAGCCTCCCAAGCCTGCTTTGTTCCCTCCCGCTACAGACTTGCCAGCCTAGGCAAGTGGGAGTTACCGATATGCAGGGGGCTGGAAGGGGTGTGTGCAGAAATAAGCTGTGCGTGGAGTTGTTTACTCCACGGGAGAGATGGGGCTTTGTTTCGTGGCTCTCTGATGCGTTACATGTGAGCCTGACAGGAGTTGTGTGGTCAATCTTAGTCCCCACTCAGCCCCTAACCCATCTCCCCAAAAGGAGCGTCAGGGAAAATGGGAAGCTGAGGTGGGGAACTGGGGTGTCATGGGAGTTGTGCAGTGGGTGAGATCCAGACCCGCTGGCACAGTGCCTTAAGGGCTTGTGCTTGTTTTTCTGCTCCTGCGGCCTCAGCTGCTCCCCAACACCTAAGGGAGGGAGGGACTGGGTTTCTGGCTTTCTTCGCTGAAGCCCCGGACAACTACCCCCTTCCCAGCCCTGACTTGGGGGAGGGACAGAGAATGGGGAGTCCCCCAGTCCCAGCCTGAAAGATCAAGAAAATCAGCAGGTAACTGCCAGTTCCTGCCACTGTCAGCTGGCAGGAAGCAGACTTCTGAAGGTTGTTATTGCTGCCACCTGTGTCTTGTCTCACATAGCACCCACAAACCATTTCTCCACTTTGCTGGTTTTTGGCTCGGGGGTGGGGGTGGGCCTGGAGAGCTAGAGCTCTTTGGTCTTCAGCCTGAGTGCTCCTCTGCCTGGTGTGTCCGTGTGTGTCTAGAGGGCAACAGACATCCAGACCCACCCCTCCCCGCAGATGCGGGGTTAGCAGACCCAAGGAAAGAGGGACGGGGCAGCCCAGGGGCCCAGTGGCTGGCTCAAGGTCCCCAGGGAGTTGATGGCAAAGCTAGCACTGCCGGGGCTGGAGCCCAGTCTCTGCCTCCCTATGCAGTGCTCTTTGCACTGCCTTGCAATGCAATCATTCCCTTGTGTACTCACTGAGCCAACATTTGCTGAGCGCCCACTATGTACCAGACACGAGTCTAAACGGGAGCCACAGGCAATTCGGGACAGCACAATGAACTGTCTGATGTGGGGGACACTGGGTCCCTGAACCTAGGAAAGCCGGGAGAAGCTTCCCGGAGGAAATAAGGCTTGAGGGGAGACTAGAAGCAGAGAAATGGGGAAAACGTTCAAAGCAGAGAAAACTTGGTAACATGCAGAACATGTTCTTGGGCTTCACTAGTGAAACATGCTCCAAGGTGGTGGTCAGAGGGCAGTGAGCAGGAGCAGGTCACCATGGGCCCTGAGTCATGTTAAGGAGCTTGGGCTTTGTCCTGAAGTTGGTATGCAGAAGGATTGTTAGCAGCGATGGCGAGATTGCTTTGGTTGCAGTTTGGAGCATTGATCGGAGGGTCTAGCCCGGAAACCCTCTAGCAGGTGGGAGATGAGAAGGGCCTGCATTCGGCCTCGGCAGTGGGATGGGAAGGGAGGCTGTGGCTGCCAGAGACATCTAGATGTTAGAATCAGGAGCTTTGGAGAGCAGTTGGAGGTGGCCTGTGAGAGAGAGGGAGGTGTCGGGGTGAGTGTGGGTCATAGAAAGCAAGCAGGTTAGAGGCAGGAACGATGTCCAGCTTTGGACAAGGTGGGTTTGTGGCGCTGCGGGAGGACAGCCAAGAGAAGAGCAGAAAGCAGCTAGGAGCTTGGTCAGGAGCTCAGCAGAGGGCTCCCTCCTGTGTGGAGTCTGCTTTTTGAATCAAGGACAGGGATTATTAACTCTAGTTTACAGGTAAAGCTCAGGGAGATTAAAAGTAACTCATCCATAGTTACGCGGCCATGGAGCAAGAACTTCTTTTGGATTTCAAGTTTTGTTTGTCCATGATGTCCAAGTCTAGGGCTAATTCCCCTGCCCCAAGATGGCCCAGCTTCTCTGAGGAGGGGGCTTGGAGAGGAAGAAGTGAGTGTTTAAATATGTTTCTGTCTCCTCCCCATGTACCTTCTGCCTGAAATTGCATTTGCCCATAGCTTATAGGCAGGGATATTTCTAGGTGGCTTAAAAATATTGAGAGGAGAGAGAGGTTCTTGGTAACCACAGCCCTCAACCGTCACACGGTCAGCACATTGGCGGTTGTCCATATGTGAGGATGTCAACAACCATGAAAGTCGCTGGGACTAGGCCCAGAGGGGCTGGTTCTACTACCACAGCCCCCTCAGGGGCTCAGGAACTGAGGCACTGGGGACCCCCTACCTGACTTGCTGCTTCTATCTTTGCAGTACGTTCTGTACCTGAGTGAGCAGCAGTCCTAGCTATGGCTGAAGGTTTCCACCAATCGAAAATAAAATGAGCTAGGCTAGGACCACCACAGCCCAGAAGCGAGGGGGTGTTCCAGTCCGGCACCCTAGAAAAAAAATCTCGTCTCAGCTCCAGTGATCACACCCTCAGAGAAGTATGCCTTGGCCCCCTTCTACATCAGGCCTTCCCACCCACTGTCTCTCAGGGCGTTTGTTTGGTTTTGGCTTTGGTGCCTGTATGTGTCTCCCCACTAGACAGTAAGCTCTATAGGACCCAGACTGGGTCGATTTTGTCTCCTTGGCATATTTCCTACCCCCTGACTCACATTTGTCAAATGAATGAAAAATGAACGAGATGCCCCCAAGATCCAGACTCAGCCTCACCACGAAGGCAGCTCTTGTTTGTTTACTGAGCATGCTCCTGCTAGCAGAATGTCACTTTCAATTCTGCAATTAAATGGTGGGGGTGGTGAAGGGGGCAGGGTGCATGCACTTAGAGGTTCCTGCCCCCCACCCAGGAAACAGATGGCGAAAGTGCTTAACACATTGCTGCTCCTCCCGGAACCCTTTGGTGCCTCTCTACCCTTCTGCGCCCAGTCGAAGGCCCAGCTCCTTCTTTCCCAGGGCTGACATGGAATTAGCCAGATGGGCTCTGCTAGCCAATTCTTCTTCCTTCTAACTCTGCTACCAGGCTGGCTGGGATGAAAATCCTGTATTTAGAGAACTGTTTTTCTCTCTTCACAAGCTTCCCAGCTTTTCTCAATTCTCTTCAACTTGTGCTCGCACTTTTTTTTCTTCTTTTTTTAATATTCCAAACACCACTTCTCAGGCTGTAGCTTAACTCACTATATTTCAGTCCAATAGCAACACATTCCTACTGTGTGCCAGGCACTGGACCAGGTGGGGAGGGTAAGGGGAATACACAGCTGAGCAAGACGTGAACCGCCTCCTCCAGGGCTCATAGGTGATTGGAAGAGAAAAGCATGCCAGCCTGCAGTCTCAGTGTGGAGAGAAGACCCATTCGGCCGGAGAGCCAGGCCAGGGCTTGAGAAGTAGGTGGCTTTTTTGGCAGGTGTTACGATCCCAGCAAGTAAGAGCTCAGAATTCAGAGTTTTATCACACACACTTTATTGTTTGGCCAAATTTTTACCTGCGCAGGGGCAGACCCTCCACCTACGAAGGGCGCGCCGCTGCTAAGGCACTAGGGTTTTTATACATAAGCGGAGCAAGCAAGCAGGGTACAAGGGCGAGAAGTGGCAGTTAGCGATAGGCTACTTTAGGCAGCTTCTTTTCTGCTGATTGGGTTCAAGGCTGTTACTGGACCCCCCTCTTCTGTCTTTCTCTGGTCAGGATGTTTATCTGAGGCAAGGCTCAACCGTTGCCCTATGCCTCCTCCTCATTCTTGTCGACTCTGGCCCAGCTGCATGGGGGCTGCACCCTGATATGTTTTTCTTGGTATTAGTTCCTCCCTTACCTCAGCTTTGACCCTGCTCTCACGGCTCCCTCAGCAGGCAGCTAATGGGTCTCAGGAATCCTCTCCTCTGAGGGAAAGGCATTCAGGTAGATGAAGTGCAGAAGAAAAAGCACAGTTGGAAAGAGCTGTGCATGTGTGAGCAAGGACCAGGGGGTAGAAATGGCAGAGAAGCTGCAAAGGCAAATGGGGCTGTTTGCAGAGGCTCTTTAATTTCAGGTGAGGAGACTGATCTGAATCCAGTGGTCAATAGGGAGCCACTGAAAGTTTATGAGCTGGGGAGGAGTAAGACTCCGAAGGTTAACAAGGCTGTGGGGAAGAGGCCCCGGTGAGAGGGGACAGAGGCAGGGAGGCCAGCCGTGGCGTGGGGTGGAAGGAGCCAATTCTCTTGTGCGAGGGCTGGTGTCTCCCAACCACCCCTGTAGCCTGAGATTGGTTTGCCTTCCCCACTTCTCTTTTTGTTTTCTGGTTTTTCCCAGTTTAAGCAAAGAAGGAAATTCACAAAGAGCAAGCAGCAGCTCCAGCCTGGCTCTCTGGGTCCAGGTTCTCTGCTGGGTCTTAGTATCTGGGATCCCTCTGCGGGGTCTCTGGCTGAGAGATACCCATTTTGCTCCATCACTGTCTTCAGATGCCTACCTACCCTCTGGGATCGGGGAGCTGTGCCTGCACAGCTGGTTTGTCAGGAAATACAGAAGTAGCCCTGGTTTATTCGTAGAAGTTGCCTATCACCAAGGGACCTGTGAAAGGAGGGAGACCCTGCCCTGCCCCAGGGGAACTCATCTTGAGTGGGCCTACAAAACCCACGCAAGTGAACAAGTAGGGATCTGCTTAGAGTCAAGAATATTCTCCCAGCTCAGAGAGAGAGGAACAGGGAGCCCCATCTACCCCACACAGCTGGTAGGGGGAGAAGGTGAATGGCCAACGGTTTTGCTTTAGTCTCATCCTCTAGACATGGCACTTGGAGAAGGGTGAGCTGGGATCTAGTTGTGGGACACTGTACTGAGTCTCCTGGATTTGCAGTGGGGGAGCAGTCCACCCAGTGAACTTTGGAGTTCTCTCAGGATGAGGGGGAGGATGTGGAGTCTGGACTCCAGTTTTCCTTGCACCTCCAGGGCTCTGGACAAGGAATTTTTTTTGTCCCCATGACGTCCATAGCATTCGTGAGGGGTCAGTGTCCCAGGGAATTCCCAGGCCCCGAGGAGACTCGTGAGGCTTCGGTGACCTCATAGACCCCTCCCGGCCCTCCCCCGAGGGCGGGGCTCCATGCTTCGGGACTCGACCCCGGCCCCCGAAGGCTACCTAGTCCTGCTTCTGCCTGGTTCGGGTGGCGCCATGGGACAACTGATCACCAAGATGATGGGCATCTTCGGGAAACAGGGTAAGGGGCGCACAGGGCATCCAAACGACCGCTTTGATCCGGCTCCCACCTGGGGCTCCCGGGATTGGAGTTGTCGGGGCGGATACGATGGGGAACCTAAGACTGGGAGGGTCCCGCGTGGACGCTCCTTGCCTGCTGCACAGTCATCCCTGTCCCTTCCCTGCCCGCTCCTCTCGGGTCGCGGGCGTCGGTGCGCACCGGGGCGCAGGGCTGGGCGAGACTCCTTCCTCCGGGTAAACGCCGCCGCCGATTTCCTGCAATCGTGACTGCGCTCTCTACACTTTCCCCGGACCCTTCCTGTGGGCAAGCCCAGAGCTCCTCGGCCCCTTCGGACGATCACTTTTCTGGAAATGTGGAGCGAGGGAGATGGGGCCCCGCTCTCATTTCCACTGTCTGGGAGTGGTGCAGGTGTCCTGGGGGCCGGTGGGAAAGAAACCTGTCCTGTTGCTTCTCTTTTCTTTCTTTCTTTTTCTGGGGGTGGGGGTGGGGGTGGGGTGCGGGGTGGGAGAAGGCGGCTGGGGAGCAGAAACGGTACCGGCCTGCTGGGAACACTTGTTTCCAATTGGGAGGCCTAGTGGGTCACACAGCTCCTTGGTCATCGCGTTTGGCCCTGACCCTGTCCTTCCCCCGGATGCCTCCAGAGCACAAGGTTATCATCGTGGGACTGGACAATGCAGGAAAGTCCACCATTCTCTACCAGTTGTAAGTGACTCCGGGGGTGGGGAGAGGGGCGCTGTGCTTTCCCACCAGACTGACAAACATTTGGACCAATCACCGGAGCCCTTTCCTCGGTTCCCGGGAGCAGGGCTGTGGGGAACGCTAGCGGGACCTTTCTGGTATGCGCCTCACTTCGGTGGCCCCTGGCCTGGCATTCGAATGTGATCGCTATGGGCAACCCCACGGCCCCTGGCCATCTACCCCCCGGCCCCTGCCAAAACCGGTGGCGGGCTTGACGCTGGTGGGCAGGCAGGTTCTTCCCGCCTCCCTGCTCTTTGCTCCCCCCCTAGCGGCAGGTCCCTCTTTTTTAACTCGGGCACTAGACCTTTGCACCTTCCTTTCTACAGGCCCAAAGGGCAGGGCCAGCCCGTTTTGGGTCCGCGGGGCTCCGTGGCTCCCGGTCTGGCAGAGCCTGGCGGAGCCTGGCACATGTGCTGAGTAATTTCCCATCGCAGTTTTTTCCCCTAAATTCACTCCCTGGATGGTACCTCTCCCATTCTGGAGCCTCCAGAGTATTTACTTAGGACAAATTTTCCCCTGAAAAAGTGATATATGTAAATGGTTTTTAAAAATTAGAAGAAAAGGAAAATCCAAACAGTACAAGAGCATACAGTGAAAAGTAAGGCTCTTTGCCCTCTAACTCCCAGTTTTACTTCCCAGGCCTTCCGTCCAGAGGAATGCCTTCTGTGTAAACGGGTGTGTGTTGGCTATGCCACTATAAACAGAGCACCTTTCTGATGGCCCGCACTCGTGTCTGTCTCATTTTTTCAAATCCTTCGCTGTTGAAAGTGTGGTCCACAGACCAGCAGCAGCATTGGCATCATCTGGAAGTTTGTTAGAAGTACGAAATGCTGGGCCCCAGCCCAGACCCCCTGGATCAGAATTTGACTTCTAGCAAGACTCCCAGGTGATTCAACTGCATATTAAAGTTTGGGGAGACTGCTCGACAAAGCCTCTCCTCTCTGGAGTCCAGGCCCCGGCAGGACCTGGTCTCACTCCTGTCTGCATTCCCCTGTGCTCAGTAGAGGCTTGTTCAGCCTGGGCTGATTTGTTCTGACTTAGAGTCAGCCTGACTTGGGAGCAGAGGGGTCGGAGGCCAGAGCTGGGAGTGGGCTGGGCTGAGCTCTTGCTACCCTCTTCCACCTTCCCAGCCTGATGAATGAGGTGGTCCATACGTGTCCCACCATTGGTAGCAACGTGGAGGAGATTGTCCTGCAAAAGACCCACTTCCTCATGTGGGACATAGGGGGACAGGAGGCTCTGCGCTCCGCCTGGCACACGTACTACTTCAACACTGAGGTGAGGTGGGCACTGGGGCCAGGGGGGCTGCGTGACACTAGCCAGCTGCTTAACCTCTCCGGGCCTTGCTTCCCCCACTTGTGAGATGGAGACCGTAATAATGACCTCCCTGAGTTGTTGTGAAAATTAAATAATAAAATAATAGCTAATGCATGTGTGTCAAATACTTACACAGCACAGTGCCTGTTAAAATTTTTGAATATTTCCTAGCAGCTTTGTCTGCTGGCTGGCAGCTTTCTGTCTGATGCATTGGATGAGTAGACCCTTTGTCTTCAGGGGCCTCACTTACTCTGGAAGCAGTAGCATTCAGTGGTTTCATTCCTGGAATGAGACAGCGGAGTTCAAATTCTAGCACTAGCACTCACCAATGATGTGCCTGAGGGCAAGATATGTCATCTTGCTGAGCCTCAGTCTCCTCATTTGTAAATGGGGATAATAATACAGTTGACCTTTGAACAACCTGGGTTTGAACGGCTGGGGTCCACTTATATATGGATTTTTTTCAATATATAAACAGTCAGCCCTCTGTATTCCTGGGGTTTGCACCTGCAGATTTAACCAACCATGGATCAAATACAATATTTTCAATCCGCGGTTGGGAGTCTGCCAATATGGAAGGCCAACTGTATGCATTGTTCTGTGGCCATTTTATATAACAGACTCGAGCATCCACATATTTTGATCTCCATGGGAGCCCTGGAGAAGTTTTGGGGGAGTTAAAAGTTATATGTGGATTTTCAGCTCTGCGGGAGTTGGTGCCCCTATCTGTTGCCTTGCTCAAGGGTCCGCTGTAGTTTCAGTGCCAAAGGGCTAACTGGAGTCATGAATGTCCAGGGCTTGGCATAGCCTCTGGCATGAAATCTGAAGTTGTGCGGAGTACTCCCTGTGTCTGGTTGGAAAGAGGAATTGAAATGGGACTAGGACAAAAATAAACAAACAAACAACAAAAAATGGGACTGGGAGGTGAGATCTCGAGCCTGGACAGTGCACTTCCTGCGGGGCTTGGATCGCGGTGGTGCAGAAGCCAGTGGGGCGCGCAGCTGGGCCGGAGGCGTTTTCAGCAACGAGAACGCCCGCCACTCATGGTTCCCCTCTGCTGCCCAGTTCGTCATCCTTGTGATTGACAGCACAGACCGGGAGCGGCTGCTGACCACTCGGGAGGAGCTGTATAAGATGCTGGCCCATGAAGTAAGCCCTCTGTGGTTGGGAGGGGTCCCTGTGTACGAGCTGTGTGACCTCAGCTTACTCACGGAGCCTCTCTGAGCTTCATCCCTGATGACGCAGTCTCTGAGAGCCTCTAGCTAGCAGCTTGGGCGGGGCTAGTTTATCTCAGATGAAGGATCATAATGCCCTCAGCATCGTTGGCCACAAAAGCCAAAGTTGCTGGTTCAGGGTCCTAACACCATGCCCCATTCTCTGTGGGACCCCAAACAAGTCAGTCTGCCTCTCCAATCCTGTTTCCCCAACTATAAATTGGGGGGAACCATTGAATTCCTACATTATGGAACTGTTATAAGATTATATGAGCTGGTTTGGAGCCATTCTATGAGCTGTCAGTGTCATTTGCAGGGGTTGCTATGTTGGGACAGGGCCCCCCATCCCCACCCCACTTGGGCATAGGTCTCTCTTGCCAGGATAGCAGGGGAGCCAGGGGACACTTGGGGCACTGGGAAGAGAGGCTGGGCCCTGGCAGGCTGACTGGAGCTGAACTCCTCTGTCCACAGGCTCTGCAAGGGGCTTCCGTGCTGATCTTTGCCAACAAACAGGATATGAAGGACTCCATGACCACTGTGGAGATCTCCCAGTTCCTCACCCTTAGTGCCATCAAAGACCACCCGTGGCACATACAGGGCTGCTGTGCCCTCACTGGGGAAGGGTTAGTGGCTGCCTCACCTGGACCTCAGGCCTGGCCAAACCAGCGAACAACTGACCATCAGAACATTCTCCTGCCTCTCCTGTCAGAACCTGGTTCACAGTCAGTTGAGTCAGTTGAGCACCTTCCCACAGTTGAGGTGCTGTGGGTAGGCAGTGAGCGAGAGTCCTGCTTTCAAGGGGCTTGTTCTAGTGGGGAGAAACGCGACAGTCCACCCAAACACAAACATTTTAGGTACTGATAAGTGCTGGGAAGAAAGTGAAGTTGGATCTCAGTGGAAGTCTGGTTTAGCTCTGGGGGTCAGGGGTGGCCTCCACCGGGAGATGTCTTTTGAGCTAGGCCTGAATGAAGAGGAGGTTGCCATGGGAAGGCCAGGCACAAATCTCCCAGACAGAAATCACCAACTCTTTCTGACCCTGAGTTTTCTGACCTGTAAAGAGGAGGGTGATTATACCTACTACCCCTGAGAGCTTCTGTAGGGAAATTGTATTAAGCACCTACTAGTGCCAGGTGCTGTTCTAGGCACTGGGGAAAAGCATATGAAGGAGCAGTGAACGAAACAGACAAAAATACCTGCCCTCATGGAGCCTACGTTGCAGCGGGGGAAAAGGACAATAAACAATGAAAAAATATATATGTATAGTAAGTTAAAAAGTGCAAAGTGTTCAGGGGAAAGTTCAGTTAGGAAAGGAGATTGGAAGTACATGGGGAATGTTGCAGCTTTAGATAAGCTCTCTAGTGAGGGATGGCTAAGAAGGTAGCTGCTGAGTAAACTCCTGAAGCATATGAAGGAGCTAGGTCACGGTCATATAGAAAAGACCTTGTATCAGGTCTGAAGAGTTCCCTTTCCTCTTCCTTCTCAAGTGGAATCACAGCAGGCTGAGGACCTAGGTGGCTGGTTGAAGAAGGGGAGGCTTTAGGCAAGTCAGCCCAAGGAACCACACATTTCTGGTACAGTGTCTTGCTACTCCCTGAGTCAAGGGGACCTCCTTCTCCCCCAACCCACAGTCCGTTCAATTCAACCAGCATTTCCGAAGTACCCCCATGTGCCATGCACTCTCCCAGGTAATAAAGACATGACCAAGACACCCCTTGCTCTGGCGTTGCTTACAGTCTAATGGGAGAACTTGCTTATGAGGTCTTTTCCCAGGCCTTTGAAGTCTCCCTGGTGCAGCCTCCTGCAATGGAGTGGGTAGGAAGGTATTTATCCACAGACATAGCTAAGGTAGGTCTCCAGGCTACTTCCTTAGAGAAGGGCCCCCTGCCTCCCAGATATCCAGAGGCCTCTGCACATTTCCTCCTAACCTTTATTAAGGTTTGTAATTATGGAAGAATTGGTTTAATCCTTTTGTTTAATATTCATCTCCTCTGCTGGAGATAAGCGCAGAGGGCAGCGCCCAGCGCAGTAGCTGATGCATAGTGTGTACTCAGTCTGTTCACATTCGTTGACTGAAAGATTGGATGTAACTTCAGTTGCCCCCTCAGTCGACTTGGGACAGGGGCTGGGGGCTTGAAGGCCATCATCCTCATGAAATAGGCTGATCGTTGCCCTGTTCTTCCCTTCCTGCAGGCTGCTTGCTGGGCTGCAATGGATGCAATCTCAGGCCACTGCCAACTGATGTCCCAGCCCGGGACCAACCGGAAACTTTGAGGTTTTGCATGGACTACATGGGTGGAAAACCCAAGTGACTGTTTATTACTTTCGACGGTTCTCAGGTGGGAGCAGGGGCTGGTATGGACAGTGAAGATTGCCGCTGCCCACCCTACTCCACACAGAGGAGCTAGACTGTATACCCTGAAATGCGGCGGACAGGACAGCAGCAGAAGCTGCCCCTCACTCCACGGAAGCAGGTGTCCTTCTTGCAGGGTGGATTAGGAAATGGAGCCTCCTCCCCTTAGCTCTCAACCTCTCTATGGGAAAAGCAGGGTGGCAGGGGGTGGGTGGCAAAGTAAGAGACTCCTTTATTTCCTAGAAACTCATTCTTAACCCCTTCACTCCCACCCCAGCTTTCTGGCTCCTCAGCCACCTTTGGGCAAAAGGATATTCTAGAAAGGTGAAGGGGGTGGGCTCAGGGGAAGGAGTGCAGACCCAAAAGCTGGGAGGGGAGAAGGAGTGGGACAGGACATCCCAGAAAGGAGCAGTCCTTGGCGCCGCAGGGAGTTCCACTCCTCCCTCGCCTCCCCATTCCCTCTGAGATGCCAGCTCTGACCACAGCTTTTGAGCTTTGAGCCTCTCCATCTATGCCCTTCACTTCCAGTGTCCTCCCAATGTCAATCCCACTCCTGCCAAATGTCCCACTTGTCTGTCTTTTTGTAATCATGTTTTTCACATTGTATTAGGGTTTTTATAAAGGTGTAATAAATGCCATTGAAAAGTACTCACCTCTTACTTCCGCCTGCAGGAGAAGGGGCCCTTCGGAGCTGAAAAGATCCAGGAGTCCTATCTAGGTCCAGCTGGAGACAGGATGGAAGTCCAGGCTGCCCTGTGCACAGGGAGCGGTGCTATTACCCCAGCAGGCCCCGATATTCTTGGGGTCAGGGTGTCTATCTCCTTCTCAAGTTAGGCAGTGGGTATCTTGGCGAGAGTCTAAACACAGATGTGAAGGACCCAGGATTCTTTAAATCTGTGATTTTCCTGAGGCATGATTGTGAAGGAAGAACTCAGAAATTCTAGCTGTTCTTTTCTTCTTCTTCTTCTTCTTTTTTATTGAGGAAGAATGTTGGAGTAGTACTTGACCATGTGTATGAAAGTTCCCACTTAGTGAAGTCAAACTAGCTGTCCTTACTCAGATTCTGGTTTTTCTTTCTTCCTATTGGATTATTTTAGCACAACCCCAAGATAAAAACATAAATCGATGCCATTTCCTTATTCCACAGAAATTAATCCTCATGAGAAAGACTCATGTGCACGTGGGGGTATAGCTCAGTGGTAGAGCATTTGACTGCAGATCAAGAGGTCCCCGGTTCAAATCCGGGTGCCCCCTCTGCGTGCCTAGGCTTTTCAAGTTTTCTTGGTTCTGCAATCCAGCTTTAAGTTCCCTTGCCAGTGACAGGAAATACGGCCTCGGGGCCCAGCCAACGTCTTTTGTAGTCAGAGGACAGAGGCCCAGATTCTACCAATCCACACGCTCAGCTTTGTGTCTAGAAGTGGAATGCGTTGGCGAGTGTGAGCGAGGGCTACCGGGTTGACCCAGGGGGACTGTATACATAGAGCCCACTACGCTAGGTAGGGGGGAGGCGGGCACACTCCCAGGTCTGCGTGATCAGTGACCCGATGGTAGTTCCCAGCGAAGGAAGCTGAGTTTCTAGGGACACTGGGGCTGGGGAAGGACGGCCCGGGGAAGCCCGCGTGACAGTGTAGGAAGGAGGGAGGGGCGCGAACAGCAGTAAGGGGGCTCTAGCAGGGCAAAAGGGGTCCCCAGACCAAAGGAACCCCCGGAAATGAGGAGATCTTAGAGATCTCGAGGGACTTACCTTACCACATGTCCAAATTGCATTTTTTCACACCATCAGTAGTAGTCTTTAGCTCAAAAAAACCCCTGAATTCAGAGATAGAACCACTTGAAATTTGTATCTTTTAAAATCTTGGACTCTGCTCTTGGGAAGCATCGCGCGGCGTCTGAGTATAAGCAGTGCTAAGAGTCTTTTCGCAGGAGCACTTGCAACGTGGGGGTATAGCTCAGTGGTAGAGCATTTGACTGCAGATCAAGAGGTCCCCGGTTCAAATCCGGGTGCCCCCTTCCAAGTCTTTTTATAGCCCCACATTCGGTGTCTAAAGAAGGTTTCCTTAAAGCTTCTCTTCCACATTTTTTTCTATCGACACCTCCTTCCTTCGTTATCTGTTTTTTGGGCAGACAGAGGCGGTGAGTGCAAGAAACAAGAATCCTACCGCAGTGGCTCTCAGATACGGTCCTGGAGACCAGCACCACCACCTGGGAACGTGTTAGTAATACAAGCTCTCGGCCCCATTCCAGAACTACTGAATTAGAAACTTGGGGGTGTTGCCGAGAAATCTATTTTTTAATAAGTCCTCCAGGTGGTTCTGATGTACTCTCAAGTTCTAGAGGCTTACATTAAAAACATTTACACGTCGTTGGCTTTTAGTTATTTCCAAGTTGCTGTTTCAGCCTGAGCTCTTGTAGAAAACCTTATAAAACAGACTTCGAGGGCACCCCGAACTGGGGAATGTACAAACAGGCCTGACCGGAGCTGCAATATCGTCCTGGACCTCTCATTTTGACCTCCCAGAAGATAGGGGCGAAGAGATGTGGACCAGTTGGGCCAGAGCCGGAGCAGGTGTACAGCGTCTGGGCAGGTCCGGGTAAGTGCGGGAAACCCCAAAACACGCACGTTGCGGGTTGCCACATGGCCACTAGAGGGCAGCAAGAAGCCGTAGTTGGAAGAAGCAGTCTACAGCGCCCGGCGCAGATAAAACGCCCCTTTTTAATTACCAATTTTTAAACTATAAAATAATAACCATGTAATTCTGAAACATAACAATATCACACTCAAGCTCACCATATGACATTTTATGTGAAATATTCAAATTGAACCTATAGATTATTTGCATCCATGTTATTACCCTACCAACCACACTCACTCAGGTAGGCCTTAGTTCTGCTGGACCCATTCAAACCTATTCGAGTCTGCAGAATCGGGATTTAAATTAGAAAAGGATTTACCGACAGGCCTTGCCTTGTCCCAGCCTAAGGGAATAAGAGGGTTTAGGGCTGGAGGAGCCTGTTTCTGGGACCCTGGGTCCTGAGGAAGAAGGAACTGGGATTCTGAGAAATTAGAGAGCCTTTAGTTCTGTATTCACTTCGGCCCACTCTGTTCCCTTTCCTGTCCCCACGCATGTCCCTCCTCCTGGGAAAGTCCCCCAGTGGCCCTCAGCGTCCATACCCCTCTCAATGATTTTCCATTTCCTAGGCCCCAGGCCTGCAGAACCCAGGGTGCCCTCCATGCCTCACTCTCCCACCTTCCAGCGCTCCAGCTCCTTGCTGTTGCACGAAGTAGGTCAGGGGCGGAAAGAGGTACCTCCGAGTCCTGACCTGATTCCCTGCCGTCTATTAAATCTAAATTGCTGGTATTTTTATTCTGTCCTGGAAGAAGAAAAAAAAAAATCTATCCCCAGAGGCTGGTGTACGGTGGTGGTAGGGGGGTGAACCGCCTTCTTGTTCTGGGGCTGGCTTTGAAGATTGACTGGGGAGGTCCCTGAGTAGGCCTGGGGTCCCCAGAGAAGGGTGGGTTACCTTCTCGGGGTGGGGAAAGGCCCAGCCTATATCAAAACAAGGCTGAGCCAGGCCCTCTCCACCGCCAAGTCTGCAGGGCTGGGGGGCAACGTGGTGCTGGAAATGGGGGGTTGTGTGGTAAGGTGGAGAGAACCCTGGGAGGGGGGTGGGATTCAGGTACCAGCTGCTGAGAGGAACTGGGGAGTCTTTGCTGCAGGGGAAATTCCGGGGTGGGGTGGGTATCCACAGAACTCCGAGGAAGAGCTCAGGAAGTTGGGAAACCTGGTGGAGCTGGGGGCGGGGGGCATGGCAGGAGCCAAGACCCGAGGAAGGGGCGCCTGTCCCTTCCTGAGGTGTGGTCCCTTGGATCTTTGCTGCTTTCTCCAGGGGAGTGGAGGAAGGGAGGAGAGGCAGGAACTAAGGTGCGGTGTTGGGGTGGGGGTGCGCTGATGCTCTTCGGGATTCTCTCTGCCCAAAGGTCTCCCGCCCCGTCCGTCTGCCTACTCCGTCCCCTCCCCCCGCTCCCTCCTCCCTCAGGAGCGGGAGCGGCTGCGGGAGCCGCTGCGGGAGCCCTCGGAGAGTGCCGGGGGAGGGCGTAGAGCGCCGGGGAAGCCTGGGGTGAGCTCCGAGGCGCCGCGCCCCCCGCCCCGCCCCCTCCCGGTCCGCCGCTCTGCTCGCTCCCCTCCAGCTCGCGCGCTCGCCGCTCCCGCCGCCTCGTCGAGCCCCGCGCTCCGCCGCCGCCTCGCCACCCACCCCTGCGCCCGCCAGCCTCGGGGACCGCGCCGCCGAGCCCGGGCCCCCTCCCTCGGCTGCAGCGGGCCGGGGGCGGGTCCTGGCGCCCACCATGCGGGGAGAGCTGTGGCTCCTGGTGCTGGTGCTCCGGGAGGCTGCCCGGGCGTTGAGCCCCCAGCCCGGAGCAGGTAGGACTGGCCGGAGTTTTTGCCGGGTGGGCTGGGGGCAGGGAGGGGGCAGGTCGACAGGCTTGGGCACGGGCAAGTACCGAGAGGCTGGTGATGTCGGGGATGGGTGGGGGTGGGGTGAGGGTATTGTAGGCGGGAGGCCAGGAGCCCTGTGGGCTGTGGCAGGTGGACAGGGACCCCACTTTTCTAAACACATAGTGTGCGTAAGTGAGGGTGCAGGCACCAGAAATTGTCCTCCTGGAAGGACACTGAAGGTACCCCTGTAAAAAGGGGCTCCATGAGGCAGTGGGTTGCGGCCCCGAAGGGAACAGTGGGCAGGTTATGGGGACCCGTGGCCACATGGGGCAAAGCTGAATTCTGATGAGACGGGGCGTCTGCCCAGCTTTGCCTCCTCTTTCCCTTCCTGCCCCATCCCCGAGCTGACCCCAGGTTGGATCTGAGTCGGACTTAGGGGCTGGGTGGGAGCAGACAGGGGGATGGTGGAGACCAGCATCTCTCCCAGAGGAAGGGCATTGGTGGCCTGGACTGAAGCCTTTCTCTCCCTGTATGGTACCTGGAGAGCGGTTCTGGGCCCAGGAAGAAGCAACTTACTGCGCCTGCATCCTCCATCCCCCATCCTCCAGGGTCCTCCGCTCAGTATAACTGCTCTGCTCTGCCCTGTGCCCTTTGGCCTTCAGTTGTTCTGGCTGTAGACTGGCAGTGGGGATGGGAGCACCTGTCTACACACTCCTCTTCCTCTTACACCAGTTTTCCGCAACCATCTCTCCCACCTGGAAGTCCTTTCTGAGATCTATCTTGAATCTCTCATGTTATAAAAGAACCATTTTCCAAACAGATAATTTTACATTCTCCTCCTGTAACCAGACCTTTTCTGGGGTTGGGGAGGTGGGTAATTTCCAGTCAAGTCTCTTAACAGAATTGGGAAGAGAGAGGTCTGCGCCTTACTGGCATAGGTGTGTGCCAGATGGAACAGAGCAGTGTGTGTGTGTGTGTGTGTGTGTGTGTGTGTGTGTGTGGTTGGGCTGCTAGTTCTCAGGGGTATGCTAGCATCAAGTACAGTGTCAGTGACAGCATTGTTGACTTTAATGGTCCCTGTGTGTTGCTGACAGAGGCCTGGGGCCCTGTTGAGAAGGAGGGTAGGGAAGGGTGCTGATGGTGGAGATGTGGGCAGAGAGCAGTGGAAGCTGATGTGGTGAGAGGCTGCTGGGGTGGAACCACCCCGCCAGCGTTCAGGAAGACCACACAGAGAACGGCCAGACACTTGGCTTCTGTTCCCGGCTTCTCACGTGCTGTGTGACCTTGAGCAAGTTATTTTCCTTCTCTGGGCCTATTGCCTCATAATAAAGTGAAGCTAAGGGCAAAATCTTTGTCTCTTGGTGGTGAAATTATGAGAGAGCTTCTTTTTGTGATTGTCTTTCTTTTTCTGATTTGTTATGATATGTATGGGTGATAACTTAAAAAAATATATATATATAAAAGAAGAGGTTGGCCAGGTCAATTTTTGAGGTCCTTTGTAGCCCCAACAAAGCTGGTGGAATCTCCTGAACTCAGGAGGTGACTGGGTTGATGAGGGAGGGCTCTGAACCTCTGCAGAGCTGGAAGAGGGCTGGGGAAGGGGAGCTGGGGGGTAGCAAGGGGGCGGTGGCCAGACCTAGGCCTGGCTGAAGGCCGCCCCTTCAGAACTGGGCTGAGGAAGGAGACAGCTGGAACGGGCGGCAAGAGCAGGGCAGGCAGAGACTTGAATCATCTCTAAGTGGAAGACGTTCAGTCTTCTTGGCTTTGACAGAGATTCAGCCAGAAGAAACGGACTTTCTCTGCAGCAGGAGAGATTGGTTAGACCTGAAGGAGCTTCAGGAAGCCAGAGTGGGTAGCTGTTAGCGGGTGTTTTGGGGTAGGACAGGTGTAGAGGTGGGACATTCTGGGGGGACCACTAAGGGGGGGCCTAACTCTGAGGGCTGGTGGAGCCTTTGCAACTAGTGAAAGGGCAGCTGGGAGCGAGACCTGAAGGGGCGCTGCCATTGGGTGTGGAGGGAGCCCTCTGGGCAGGGTAGGGGGATGGCTCGGGGGGAGCTGAGCTCTCCTGACTGAGGTATCCTGGCCACCGTAAGAAGAAGGTGTCTTTAGACTGAAAGACGACACTGGCAACTGCCGAGAATATAAGAGGATTTATTATATGGTAATTTACTTACGGGAAAATCAGGCCTGAGTGGACAAACGGTCCAGCAGTTTTGCACAAATCTCTGCTAACAGACCCCTGTTGTAGTGCTTTTCAAATAGTATAACGCAGGTACTAATGGCTGACAGGACAGAGGGACAAAGAATGCAGCAGCATCAGGGACCATACCTCCTGGTGGTCTTGTGATAGACAGTTGTTTATAATCAATATTTTTTTTACCAGTTTGATATTTGTCTCAGTCGTCATGGGATTCGGGCTGTTACTAAAAAAAAATATTTATGGCTACATTTTAAGGAACACAGATAATCATGCACCAGAAAGTTTGAAATGGTTGCTAGGGACAATGAAGTTGGTCAAAGGTCAAGCATGAAACTTAAATCTGGGACACAGAGATGGGGTTGGTTTTGTTCACATCTACATGTGTATATCTCCTCTCCCTCTTGATGGATTGGTGGGTTTGGTGGAGACTTGGCATTTCACCCATCATTCGAATGGGAGCAGGAGAAAGAAGATATAGCACGGCTCGAAGACAGAGTCAAGGGGAGGAAGAGACCAGGAGAACCTGGCAGGCAGACAGGTGGACAGACAGGCAGATGGCCTTGGGGTGCCTAGTGGGAGCAGGGGACACGAGGGTCTGGCCCAGGGAGAACCAGAGGTGTCTAAAACAGACACAGAAGGAAGAGGCAGCTGGAGGTGGTGTTGTGGCCTCGGAGTCAGGGGACCAGGCCCAGTACCAACCCCCTGGTGACCGTGGCGACGTCCTTCTTTCTCGGCGCTGTGGTCGCCCTTTCTATGAAATGGGATTTGGACTAGATTGTCTAGGGTCCGTTTAGCCATGAATCTGCTTCCAGCCTCCTCCTCGCCACCAGGGGCTTCCAAACAAACCAAGACTCAAATCCGAATTCTTAACGTGGCCGTCAGACAGCCTCTCCCTGCCCTCACGCCTGCCTCGCTGTCCCCATTCTGTCCCTCAGCACGCTTGGGCTGCCTCCCTTCGGACCTTCAGGTAACTGGCTTCTCATCCAGGTCTCAGTCAGCTCAAGGGCCACCCCCGCAGAGAGCCCTCCCTTGATGGTTCTGGCCAGAGTAGCAGCCCCTCCCCGCTTTGTCTGCCTGCCTTCTTCATAGCACGGATCCCCACCTCCCATTGTCTCATCTGCCCTATCATTGATTTCGTGTATGTTTTATCCACCTAGAATCTGCATAGGCACAGGGGTTGTGTCACCCTGATCACTGCTGTCACCTCAGCAGCCAACATGGCACCCAGCACACAGCAGAGTCTCAATAAATGTCTATTGAGTGAGTCACAGACACCAGACTCTTCCTTCGAGAGGAACTCACAGGGAGCCAGACTCTTCTTTCCTCTTCTCCCTTCGGAGCTGCTCGGTGGTCCCTTCCTGCCAATTCCTTGTGCCTCCTTCCCTCTTCCCAGGTGGGGGTCGTCAGTGGGACCTGCCCGCCAGCAGGAGGGGAGAGGGTACACTTGGGGGCTTTGTAACTAGGGGGCAGGATTTCAGCTCAGGGCCTGGAGCCTTTCCCCAGCCTCTCAAAAGGTGGGTCCTCATGGGAAACCCAGGGAAGGCTGGACCCTGCTCGGTGCTTTGTGTACATTATTTTGTTAAGGACTCAAAACGATCTACCAAGTGTAGGTTTTTATATCATGTCCACTTTACAGAGGAGGAAACTGAAGCTGATTTGTCCAGCATCATAGTAAGTAGTAGATTCAGGCTTCGTTCTCAAACTTGTCTGATTCCACATCTGTGTTCTTTTATTGCTGTGACATTGCAGTGAGAGTTTCCAGTGGGGCTGTGCCCCAAGGGAAGGGTCTTCTCAGCCCTGTGGATCTTGGTGGAGCCTGCAGATGCACAGGCAGCAGCGATATGTTGGGATCAGGGCTGGGGTGGCCCATGGAACATTTGGGACGAGGGAGAGAGATGTCAGAGGATGTGCTGGGAAGAAGTGACATCTTGTGAGACTTGAAGGATGAGCAAGAGCTCATGGGGAGAAGGGTTTATTTACGGAGCAGAGTGATCCTGGCTGAGAAGCTGCATGTGTGAAGCCTTGTGGCCAGAGAGAGCCGGGCCGGGTCCTGAAGGGGCTTTAGGGAGCCAGGAAGCTGGAGGAGAGAGCAGGAATCCTGTCACAAGCGGCCTGGAATGCTGGGGAGAGTCGCTGAGCCTTCAGCCCAAGGGCGGTGACGAGTGGGACGCATGCACGAGCTGAAATCAAGTTCATCCTCTCGTCTAGGTGCTCTGTCGGGCGTGTGAAAGACCGGCTGAGCGCATTAAAGTGGAGGCTGAGGTAGCGACTGGACCGAGTGGTGGCCATGGGTCTGGAGTGGCAACTTGGGGGATGGGTGGGAAGAGGGTGGCTTGGACCAGACACTAGGATGGCATGACTTGGCCTCTTGAAATCATCCCATTGCTTCTTGCCCTGGAGCAGGGGGTGGCACGTGAAGGGGGCTAGGGCACTACCCCCGGGCTGCCCCCTGCGAGACAGGGAACAGAGTCTCCCAGGGAAGCTCCCAGGTTCAGATCCCACAGTTCTCAGAGCAGGGCACCCAGGAGCCCAGGCCACATTCCAGGCCCGCCCCGGGGCGGCCCCTGCACCTTAGGAAACAGCCTGGGGGTGCTGGTCACAGCTTGCTGCACTTTCTGTGGTCTGAGCAGACCCTGGAGCCAGGCTACCTGAGCGCAAATTCTGCCACGACCACCTGTGTGACTGTGGGACAGTCCTTAACATCTTTGTGCCTCAATTTCCAAATTTGTAAACTAGATCCAACTAAAACTAGCACCTATGTCATGGGGTTATTGTGGGGAATAAAAGAGTTAATTTATTTAAAGCACTTGAAATAGTGCCGGCACAGAGTAAGCATTTCTCTAACAATCAGCGATCATGGCTATTTTTACTATTACTATTGTGACATCTCACTGGACCGTCTGCTACTTGGGGCTGTGGGTGAATGAGTAGATGAATAAGTGAACAGCCTGTTCTGGAAGCTTCTTGCCCTCGCTCACAGGCAGAGGCTCTACAATGCAAGGCAGAAGGTAGAGCGGGCAGTAGCTCAGGTTTGAATAGGTGTGTAACACATGCGTGAGCACACAGGGTGGAGGCAAGGGCCTTCAGGCAAGTCTGTGTGTGTGTGTGCATGCGCGAGTATGCACAGGCACGTGGGCCCTTGCACACACACACGTGAGCAACCAGCTGCGTTGGCTCCCTCCACGGCTGAGGGGGTGATGTCCTGTCCTAGCCAGCAGGGAGAGGGAGGGTGGCAGGGAGGCGGTGTGGAAGGCAAGATTTAGGGCTAGGCCAGGGTAGGGCAGACTCTGGTCTATCCTTTCCCTCCCCTTCTTCAGGAACCCTGCCTCTGATCCTGGCCCTGAGCCCTCTATTTAGAAAGCCTTCTAATTTGTTTCTCCTTTGAGGCTTATAGCAGCTGGTACCATAGGCGTGATTGTTGTCCCCATTTTAGGGATGAGGAAGCTGAGGCTTAGAGAAGTAAAAGGATGGGTCCAAGGTCGTCAAACAGCTTGCGGGTACAAGTGTGTTCACTCCAGCCCTCCCTCTGGCTGGGCATCCCCCTCCCTGCCCGCTTCCCAGGCCTCGGGCCCCTGCCCTCCAGGCACCCTCTGGTCTCAGTCGCAGCATTGCAATGCCTGCAGATCCCCAGCATCCCTGTCCTGGCCAGTCGAACCCCTCCACTCGCTCTGCACATCCTCCTTTCCTGTCCTGGCTCCTTCCCAGGCCTCAGGCTGCTTGCAGGAGGACCCAGGGAGCTGAGCAGACCAGCCCAGCACAAATAGTCCTATTTCTCAAGGCAGCCGTGGGCCTCACCGAGAAGGGCAAGGCAGCGCTGGCTTGAGGTAGGGACCGGGGCAGGCTGTCTTCCCAGGACTGGGCCCCAGTCCATCTCAGCCAGTGGGCATCCTCGGGGAGGGGTCTGGAGACCACCCTTCTCCCTATCTTCTCCAGAGCATCTGGTTGCGATTAGGGGCAGAGAAGTGAGAAGGGGCCGGCAAGGGTCCAGCAGGTGCCAGCTGCCAAGAATGACTTAATTGGATAAAATGTCTAATGACAAACCGGAGCCTCATAGCAAAGAGCCCTGGCCGCAGCCCCAGGCCTGGTCCTGGCCAAACCTTGTCTCAACCTCTGTGCTTGCTGGCTCCCAAGTTACCACCGGTATCGTGTACTCAGTTATGCAGTGATGGAGCACCTACTGTTTGCTAGGCGCTGAGGGTGCACACTGACAGAAGGTGGGAGAGTCCTGGGGGCGCCAGGGAGACAGGGGCATAATTTCAGCACCAGTGGATGCTCTAGGAAAGGGGGCGACATCCAGGAGCTCTGGGGAGTCGGTGGGCACAGGCAGAGGTCGCAAAGGGCACCTGACCCAGGGGGGGCCTGAAACTGATGAAGATTGCGGGGACTATCAGGTCCACCTGTTTGGTGGTCCGTGTCCCATACACACATCCCTAGTAGGTGTGGAAATGGGAGTGACAATATAAAACATGTCTTTGAGGGCACGCGTCTTTCTGAAATGCACAAGCATGGTTTCTGTGTCATTTAGGAAACACTTAATGAGGGAGCTGGAGAGAACATTGAGCCTGGGAGTAGCTGCTAAATGGCCCGGGGCGGGGGGACACCACTTTCCAACCCTGTGCCATGGCAGACATTGCTAATGGATCATCATAATCTTTCCTGCTAAACACAAACAGGAGCCTCAGAGCTCTTCTGATAGAGCGCTCCTGGCTGTCACTAACTAGAGATGCGTTTTGAGATGAAAGTTATTTGCCATCCTTGATGGCGTCCAGGCTCCTTATTTTGTGGGGAAAATGACTTGCTCAAGGTGTTGGAAGGTAGTGGTAGGATTCCACACTGGTCCCCACTATGGAGACGTCTTTGACTATCACCGCCGGGGAAGAAGTGGTATCTAGTGCGAGAGGCGAGGGAGGCTGGTAGACATGTCACAACGCTCAGGAGTTGCACCCCCCAACAAAGAATTATCCAGTCCAAAATGTCCGTAGGACCAAGGTTCAGAAGCCCTGAACTAAAAGAATTCTGCTCTCTGGCTTCCAGTCCCCAGAGTCCCCTGGAGGGTGAGAGTATGTATCATTTCTGGCAGAGAAATAAGGAACTGGTTTGGAAGGTTCCAGAGCAGTGGTTCTCACCCTTGTCTGCAGCATCAGGTCCAGGGCTTCTTTGTGGCTCCCCTGAGGATCATTTAAGAATCCTAACGCTCGGGCTACCCGCGGACTGACTACATCAGCGTCTCCGGGGCGGGATGCCGACGTCAGGAGTTTTCAAAGCTCCTTGGGTGACTCCAGTGTGTAACGCAGGTTAAGAATAACCACTGCTTTGGGGGCCGATCTCCCTGGGTGTGGAACTTGTCTCCATCCCTAACCTGCTGTGCGACCTTTAACCTCTGTGAGCCACTGACTCCCGTCTGAAATGGAGAGCGTCCTCTCTGCTGTGGTGAGGACTGAAAGTGTCATGTGTGTGCGAAGCGCATGGAGCAGAGCTGGGTACATGTCTCTCAGTGCATGTGGAGTGTCTCCTGCCCTGGTAGTCGGTGTCCCCAAAGGCAGTGATGGCATGGGGTCGGGGCCTCTGCAGAGTAAGATCTCTACTCTGGACTCCCAGGACTCAGCTTTCTGTCCCCTTCTCCCAGGTCAGGATGCAGGCCGAGGCTCTGGATGGGCCGCCAAGGGGACCATGCTGGGCTGGCATCGGAGAGCCCGAGAGAGCCCTGGGCCAGTGTCGGAGCCAGACAGGACCCAGCTGAGCCAGGACCTGGGCGGGGGCACCCTGGCCATTGACACGCTGCCAGATAACAAGACCAGGGTGGTGGTGAGTGCTGGAGGAACGGGGGCGGGGGGCCGGGGGGAGTGGTGGGGGGGGGCCCACCAGGCGCCCCAGGTACCCTCGTCAGACCCACCAATCGCATGTCCTTTCGTGTTGGCCCTGGAGGTCAGCGTGAAGAAGGGGATTTGGAGGAGGATGGAAGCAGGGCCCAGCCTAGGTTGTAATATCTTGGCATCTCAAGAGTGTCATTGGTTGCCTATCCCCTCGTGGCCTCCGAGAGGTAAAGTGATTTGCTCAAGGACGCACAGTGTGTCCACAGCGTTCTGACACTGCACTGCACACTCCCGCTGCTTTGGGCCTCCACTAAAAGCTGAACGAGGGTGGCATTCTTAGTCACATCCCGCTGCCAGCTCTGGCCCCTCCGCCACCTCATTTCTGTGCCATCTTCAGACTGTGTGTCCCCAAAGAGTTCATGGCTGCAGAGGCTCAGGCTGCTCAGCCTCGTGGTGGGGAGCTCTGAGCAGAGGAAACAATGAGGGTGAAGCCCGGGAGAGACCCTCCTCTGCCTGGGCCGTGCAGGGAGGTCGGGGATCAAGGCCAGCCTCACAGCATCTCCTGCTCTCCAGCTGGCTTTCTGAAGAGGGGTGGGGGCGGGGCTTCTGCATGTGTGTGGGTGAATCTATAAGCATGTGTGCATGTGAGCAGGAGTGTGTTTGCATGTGAGCCTGAGGGTTTTGGTATATTATGTATGTATTCTTGTGTGTCTGTCACCTTGGGCTGTTTGTGAGCATCTGTTATGAGTGCGTATATGCCTACGGCTAAGAGTAAAGAGGATGGATTCTCAGGATGCTGAAAAGCTATGAAACAAGAAGGAATGAGAGGATGTGCTTCTCAGTACATATTTCTTTATTTTATGTTTTCTTAACTTTTTTAAAATCAAAGAACTGTTTTACAGATAGTCAGAAAGGTCAAATAATACTAAAATTGGAAAACAAAACACACTAGCGGCCCCCCGCCCCGTCCCCCGCCCCGCACAGCGTCAAGCATTTCTGTGGCTAGTTACTTCCATATTTCTAAGTAATTTGCTTGTTCTGCTGTCTCTTGATTAATCCATTTAGACATTATCTGTTGACTGCCTGTTGTGTAGATGAAGATTCGTCTTTTATATACTCTCCCGAGCATCGTTTTACTTTCTCAATATTTTTGTTAAATCCATATGCTCTGCTTTATATTATTATAATCATGTAAATATTGTTCACCACTAATCCAAGCAGGGTGATAGGATTGTTTACTTTCTCATATATTTTTATTTTTCTTGGATCCCTGCCCCCTCTACTTGCTTAGTTTTCTGTATTTACTACAGCTATACATTTTTACACACCCTTTGGCTGTGTTAAAAAAGAGACCATAGGCCCAAAATGGAGTCACTTGTGCTAAGCCCATGGCACAAAAACCAACGCTTAACACCTAACTTAATTACAGTGTCAACCTCTCTCCAGAGCAGAATCTTAACCAGTCAGTGTGGCATTACCTGGTCAGCTCTAGTGAGGTTATCGGCCTGATAGGCTTCTGCCATCCCCTGAAAGAGGGTGACCTTGACACAAACAATCTATTCTTTGCTAGAAACTTCCTTCTGTCTGCGAGATGAGATGCTGCCCAGCTCATGAATCATTCAATAAAGCCAATAAGCTTTTTAAAATTTACTTAGTTGAATTTTGTTGTTTAACAGCCTCAAATATATTTTTGGGGTAGACAAACCTGTCAGTTCTCCCCTGCCCCACCCCCTCCACTGACGCCTGTCTCTCATAGTCCTGCTCAGCCCAGACTGGCTGTTCCCCATCTGCCCCGCAGCTATCCTGGGACCTCCCTTCCTCCGTCAGATGGAGGCCCTGGTCTCTCTCCCGTGTTAGGTGTCCTATTCTCTCACCCTGTGTCTTCTCTTTCCTGCTTCCCCCCTTTGTTTAGCCTCCTGAGAAAGGTCACATGGGAGAAAAAGTTCTTTTGAGAGCTTGCATGTCTCAAAATGACTTTATTCTGTCTCACACTTGATGGATGGTTTGGCTGAATATAGAATTCAAGATTAAAAATAATTTTCCTTCCGAAACTTGCAGGCACCTCACCATTGTCCTCTGGCTTTTGGTGTCACTCTTGAGAGGCTTGATGCCATTCTTATGCCCTGGTTTTGCATATACCCATCCCCCCACCTCCAGAAGCGTTCAGGGTGCCCTCTGTAACCTCCGTGAGTGAGGGCCCTGCTTTGGCTGGATGTTTGGTGGGCTGCTTCAGCCCGGAGACTTATGTTCACCAGTTCCGGGAATGTCTTCCTGTTTTATTCCTTTGGTAATCTTCTCCCTGCCATGTGTTCTTCTTTCTACAATTCCCTTTGATTTGATGTCCTTTTGTCTTGGGGAATGATCCTTGAACTTTCTCCCCTCTTTTGTTGTCTGTCCATGCTTTTGCATATTTGTTAGTTTGCGTGTTATGGTTGTTCCGCTCTCTGGGAGATTTTCTCAGTCTTCTTTTCTTGCTCCACCACTCCCCCCGACCCACCCAACAACTTTTAGAAACTGTTTATTTTCTGTCATCCTTATTTCTATTCTGCTTAAGTAAGAGTTTGTGGAAGAACAGCTTAAGACTACTCAGTGGTTGTTCCTCAACCTTTTTTTCTTAATGCTACTGGTTCTTCCTTACTATCATATTTTTAATTTTCAAGAGCTCTTTATTATTTTCTGATTATTTCTTTTCTTAAAAAAAAAAAAGTCTCCTGCTCTCGTAACATAGATGTAATATCTTCTCCTTCTAACAATACTTAAAATTCGTTTAAGTATTTTTTCCCTGCTCTCAGCATCCATCCTCCCCCCACCCCACCCCCGCCCTGCCTCGGCATCGTTTCTCCCTTTCCTGCAGGGATAGTGTGCACAGGGGTGGGCAGGGGGAAGGAAGACAACAGGGACGGTGAGGCACTTTAGGAATAGCAGCAGCGCGGAGGAGAGAAGGCTGCTGCGCTTGGCTTGAGGTGCTTCCCCCAACCAGCAAGAGCTGTGACTGCCTCTGCCCGCCCGAGGGGCTGCTGGACAAGAGCAGTAGCAACAGAGGTGGGACAGAGAGGCTGCCAGCCTGCAGCCTGGTAGGGAGGGAGCAGGGTAATAAATGCTCAGAGCGCTCCTCCTCTCTGCATCATTTCTATGACTTACTCCTTTTTACCTCAGGCTCTGACATGACTTGGTACCATCGATCCTGTCTTTATTTCAGATTTTGATATTTTGTTCATCATAGATTTGTTTGCGTTAATCTTGATTTGTAAAAAATACGGCATTGAAATAGTCTCTGTCTCGGTGACTGAGTTTTTGGTCATGAATGTTGCACCTGCGGTCCCTGCCGCACTCTCCTCGCCCTAATCCGGGCCCTGAGGCAGAGTCCCCCGCACTCCCATGCAGCCCACTCACTGCCATTCTGCCCTCCTCCTCCATCCTTCAGAACCAAGGAGCCGTGCCGGGGCGGTGGGGCGGAAGGCCGTGGCAGAAGAGTCCCCTGAGAGAGGGGGCACCTGGAGGCTCAGCCTTCCCTATCCCCAGCTGGGTTGGGCCATCGGTTTCAGAACTGATACTTGCTTTGGGCCAGAGGGCCATGTCCCAGTTTGTGCTGAAAGGACCTTGCGGCAGGGAGCAACAGAGACGGGGACTTCTGGAAGCAATCGTCTGTAGGCGTTCGGAAAGGACAGCGGGATCTTTAAGAGCCAGCATGGAATCAATAACCCCAGAGCTGAAAAAAACAACACACATTCTTGGGTCCCACCCTGGGCTGACTGGTTCAGAAGCTCTGCAGCTGGAGCCTGGGAATTTTTTTCTTTAAAAGTCCCCTCCATTGAGTCTCATGGTGATCTGGGTGTGGGATTTCTGACATGTAACATTTCAAACCCATTTCAAAATTGGTTACCAGACTGATCACCAGAATATGAGGCTTTCTCAGGCACCATGTGGCTCTGTACTGGACCACAAGACTTCCAGTATCCCCGGGCTTCGTGGCTCCCTCAGCAGCCACACGCCGGGAATCCACGTGGAAGAGCAGGGCCAGCCTGGCAGGAGGCCCCTCTGACTGGTGAGGGGCTGTGCCCAGCATTTCCCGGGTCAGACCTCCGCCTTAGCGGAAGAAAGTTCAGATGTCAGATCAGAACCGGAAGCCGTCCTCAGCAGGCTGAAAGTTGGACTCGGGCCGGACGAAAGTGCTGGGGTGAATATAAATCCTGGCACTTACATTTAGAATAAGGGGGGAGAGATGTGGCTTAGCCGCAGTTCAGGAGGAAAGACTTGGGGGCTCCTTCCTGCCTGTGGACCGAGGATGAGTCAGGAGTGAGGAGTGGCTACCGAGGAGGGAGGTGGCAAAGCCAGCCGTGTTAATACAAACCCACAGAAACCCTGGGACCAGGGCGGGGGTTCTGGGGATCCTGCAGGGCATTTCTCAGTCCAACCACAGCTGAGGGGCTTGTGCCGTCCTTTTAGGTGGTTATCCAGAAACCAGAGCGGTCCAGAACGGCTGGGCTAGTTGGCCTAGCACAGAGAGAAGGCTCAGACATGCTGTTTTCCAATAGCTGCAGTGCTGCTGCCGGGGCAGGGAAAATAGGTGACTTTTCTCCGTAGCACTTACCTTGTCCTGCATTGAATTCCCTGTTTATTTTTTTATGTTGCCTGTCCTCCCGCTGGGACCGAGGCACCATGAGACCCGAGACTGTTTTATCACTCTGTCGCCAGTGCCTGGCACATGGGGGGAGCTCCTCCTTTGAGGGAACCAGAGAAGTAAGGATTTGCTCATCCCCAGAGACCTCAAAAGGTTATTGATGAGAAGAGGTTTTGCCTGGAGCAGGTTCTCAGATCCAGGGACCCCAACTCTACTGACTTTTGGGTTTCCACGCACAGAAGGAAACGTCAGAGCTTACACACATGCATGCACACCCGTGACCCGGGTGGCCTCGTGCCTCAGTCCTCGGAGAGGCCTGTGTGCCCTGCTCTGCCTTCCACTGACCCTGTTAGGCCTGGCACTGAGCAGTG